AGAACTTACCAGAAAAGTGTCTGTATGAAAAATGTTAGGGTTACACTTCTAGTTTCATCTTGGCAGAGTTCAGCTAATATGAAATACAGGATTTATGAGCAATAAAAGTTACAGCAGGACTAGAGGACACTTCCAAGCAATGCTCTACAGCAGCACCTCAGGACAGGAGAGTCAAGTTACCTGGAATCTCTGAATTTAACACCCCTCCAGTTTTCAGACACCTGTTTAACGCAAAGGAAAGCCAAACCTCGCATAAACTACACTGGTTGTGGATTTGGGAGGCAGAACCATTTCCCTGGAAGCAGGAACATTCGGACGTGGATGCACCAGAGCCCCTGCAGGCTCTCCATTCCTGCTCTCAAGAGCCACCAGCAGCAGGCCAACCTTCTCTCCTGATCGGGGACCAATCGAGATACAAGCACACGTGGTCCTTGCGTCGAGATGTTGAAGCAGCACCAACAGGGCCTGCAGGAGGGCAGCACTGCTTAGAGCAACTGCTCCTCTCCAGCACAGGTGGTGTGCCAGAGGTGCTCCCAGGCCACGCTGCTGCCCAGTCCCAGCTGAGACTCGCCGGGCTGCACCAGGACAGCTCCCCGCAGGCAGCAGCGGCGGGGACGCACAACGAGCCCCGCAAGACTCCCGAGACTGGGGAGCAGGGGGCGCTGCTCCAGCAGAAAGCGGGAGCGAGCCGCTCTGCTGGGAGCCGCACACGGGCCGCTAGTTGAGGGAGCTCCTTCCCGCCGGCCTGCGGTTCCCAGCGGGAAAAGCACCCGGGACACGCCGGCAGACCCCGCTCGCTCCCCGCGGGCCCGGCCCGCCCCTCGGCCCCCGCGCACCTGGTGGCGGAAGGCGGCGCCGCGCAGCAGGTCCCGCAGCAGCCCGAGCCCGATGTCGCGGCTGGCGCCCTCGGTGACGAGGTGGAGGTGCAGCACGTCGGCGGCGCCCAGGCGGCCGTGCCGCAGCAGCGAGCGCAGCGCCGCCTGCGCCTTGTCGCGGAGCGCGGGGCTGCGCTCCGCCTTGGTGAACATGAACAGGAGGTGCAGCCCGCGGGGCCCCGGGCCGGCCGGGGCGGGCGGCGTGGCGCGCAGGCGGCGGGTGGCGCTGGAGAAGGTCTCGCCGCCGCCGCCCAGGTAGTAGAAGGCGCAGACGGCCACGGCCGCGGCCGCCGCCAGGGCCGCGGGCTGCGGGCAGCGCGGGCAGCCCCGGCGCGCCGAGCCCCGCAGCGCCGCCATGGCGGGGCGGCACCGCCCCCGCCCCCCGCCCGCAGCAGGGCGGGGCCGCGGCCGGGCCCGCGCAGTGACACACTACACACACCGCAGCCACGTTTAGATACAAATCTACAGCCGTACATCATAACGCGAGGGAGGGCGAAGTATACAGTCTGTACAATTACAGCTTAAGGGGGGGGGGGGGGGGGAAGGGTTTTTTTTTTTACATTTTACTGCTGGAATGCTTAAAAACGCCGAGTACAGAGGAATGCGCGGAGAAAAAAAAAAAGTTCATTACTTCGGAGAAAGTAACGTCTCTGCTTGAGGAAACGATGATTTCTTGGCGATTTCTGTCAAAACGCGGAAAACTTAGGCTCCTAACAGAAAAGTGAGTGGAATTTTTCCTCCTCTATCATCTCCTTCCATGGGAAGAGAAACAAGAAAATACTGTATGCAGAAAGATAAAGCAAGCATATGAAAGGTTATATACCAAAGTGGTACACTCATCCTTTTCCCCAGTAGTGCCTCTCCAGAGTTGACCCTGTTTTAAAACTGTGCCTCTGTGTAAGCACGGGAGCAAGGCATGTTGCGCAAGCCATAAACTCCAACTTGGGAAAAAGTGTCCATAATGAATGGGACAGAGATTGTAGCCTGAAAAATCGATTCTCAAAATACTTTGTGTGTTGAAGAATCAGAATAATTAGCTAAGTCCTTCTAACACTGTAAAAATATCATGTCCTTTGTACTTACATATTATTATTTGTAGTTTCATCAAAGGGTCATTTCATAGTCACTGTGTTATTTGAGATTATCAAGTTGAAGCAGCAGAGGTAACATCCACAATTTAAAACAGATGGCTGCAGAGAAGCACCGAAGTCCTGGAAACATGACCTCAACCCTCCGCTTGTTCTAGTTCTCACCTTTTTAGTTTAGTGCTACAAAATTTATGCTCTATCCAGGAGACCTAGTAATTTGGACAACATGTGTACTGATGTCATAATGCAAAACAGGAGAAACTTCCTCTTGTACAAGGATTTGCTGACAGCAGTTGGAAGGTCTGGTTGCATTTTCTAAAACTATTTCAGCTCAGTATACAAACAGGTAAAATATAAAACCCCACAGAGCAAAAAATGCAGTATTAATACAGGATCCTTTAGCAGTCTAACATTAAAATCCACAAATGGTACAATCCATAATCTCAAAAATCAGTGGAAAGACTGCCACTGATATCAGCAACTTCCTGAATCAGGTCCTAATGGGCAGAGGGGCTGAAGTCCACAATGCACTAATGAGCACCTGGAACACACATCCATCTGATTGCAATGTGGGCTGTTTGTGAAAGCGAAGAAATACCTCTACAATCCAAATACACCTTCATCCAAATTAATGTAAACAAATTCCAACTGTCTAGCACAGACAGTAGCATAATTCAATATGGTAATTCAGAAATTTAAGTTTGTATGCACTGTACTGACACATAAAACATGAAACCTTATGAACAGTCAAAACAATTGATACTATTAATGAGCCACCACAGACACTTCTTTAATCAACATGCAATGGACACACATTACACCTCTGAAGTCAAGATGAATTAGAATGCAAGTTGAATTCCTCAACATTTGTTGTTCCAAGAGACTTTTGGAGCACATAGGAAAGATATTATACTATCCTTCAATGGGCTATCTAATATAGAAAATTACTAAAAATCCATATGAAGGATGGTTTTAAAATGTGTTGGGAATCTTCTGCTTTGTCCCTCACTACTATATTTCATACCTACAGAGAAACATGAATTGGAATTGAACCTTTCTATTGTCTGGTACAAAGTACAAGATGTTAACCCACAATGGAACCTTACTATCTACTATCACTTAGACTCCCCCCTTACTATCTACTATCACTTAGATTCCCCTTGGAATAGAAATGGAAGTTTCCTAACATTACTGAGCAGAATATTAACGTGAGTCAAAACTCGATATGGAATCCAGATCTTCAGAGCTGTGGTGATAATCACACTGCTGAGGGCTGAAACCTGTGAGTCACAGAGGCCCTAGAACACAGAGCCTGGTGAGACTGAGCCATCAAATTTAATGGTACATTCATTTCTGCTGATAAGCAACACGTTACCATTGCACCTGACCTGAAAAAGGCTTTAATTGAGTGCAGTTTATACTGGACATCCTATCATACCCAAAAGGGCAGGGGAACAAGGCTGAGGATCACAATTTACACAGCTACTCCCTAAGCCATTAAAACTCCATCGCTCCTGACAAGTCACACCACCTGTCAGTCAGGTGGGATTCATCCTTTAGCACAGACAGACTGATACTGTTTCCCAGACAGATAAAAAGTTGGGAACACAATACATGATGTGTAGGGCTACAGGGAAGCAACTTCTTAGTCTAGAGAAGTCATCCTGGAGAATGTCACAGAGATTTTGTGGCCAGGGAGGAAATCACCAGTGAAGATTTGAAATATGTCTCTCAGACCTGCTCTTCAGCAGCCTGGACTGAGACAGCAATTACGCCACTAAGCTTTAGGCAGCTTTACATTCCAGCCAATCACACTACACACTGCCTGCCAGCCAGGCTGAGAAAAGCAAACATTTAGAAAAACCTATGTCTAAGGTGGATATTATGCCGTTATATTATCACATTGTCCCATCTGTACACCAGGAGTCTTACTTTCTCCAAGATCTACTAAAACACCCATTTGCTGGTAAATACTGCTGATTAGGAAGTATATAATCAATTCATAGGCAGCTATCTAAAAACCAACTTACTAAAAATTACTGCTTACAGGTGATATCCTTAAGTTTCTTATTATTCAGACTAAATGTGCACTTTAAATGGGCAGAATTTGCTTTTCCTACCATAATTAGACCACATACAAAGCAAGAACTGTCTTGTAAAATTATTCTGCTTGGAAATAAAATCCACTGGACAATTCTACAACACTACTGATTTTGTAGCAATAATAATATGCAGACTATTACACATTTGATGCAAAATTATAAATGTTTGAAATACTTCTTAAAACTCAACATGCCAGAAAGTTTAACGTTACCATAGTTTACGGATTTCAATTTGTTTTATCCCAGTTTTGCTTACCTTTCCATGGAGAAAAGCCAATTAATTTCCTAAATACACTTAAACAGCAGGTTAACATAATGCCACAGCTTTCAGAATTACTGAAAACTGATTAATGAAAACTCACATTGATACTGTGTCACCTAAAAACTCTGCTTAAGTTGTCTCCATAGGGTAAACAAATAACAGGATAAAGAATTGCATCTGCTGATTTGAGGTTTAGGAGGATTATTATCTAGGTATAAATAATCTGATATATAAGCATATATCTAGAGACACCATCTATACATGCACGGGGCAGAGTGGGGCTCACAACTGCATAAAGCAAATTGTCTTTGCATAAAGCAAATTGTTGTGCACTCACAACACAGTTGTAGACTGTGATCATTCATTACTTTACAGAAATGTGCACTGAAATTCTAGCTTTTCTTGTGCTCACCTAAGTTTAGACAACACAAACATCCTTGCAAATTATACAAGGGCTACTGCTTCCTAATACAAAGGCTTGATTGCCCTAAACTTAGTGTGGCTGTAAGACATGAGACTTTTATACTAAGCTTAGGGCCTGTAATGAGAACAGCAAAAAGTAGAAATAGCCTTTCTACAACTATTCTACACAAACTTTGTTGGCTCAACATTTACTTTCATGTCTCAAATTTCAAGTTTTCATGTCAAAATACTACAAACAAACCCCACATCTTGTCCAAAAGGATTGTTTATTTTCCATGAAAGGTTCCAATGCTCATTTAGAAGGATACTTGCTGCACTGAAAGTTTAAGAGGAAAAGAAAAAAAAAGGAAAATGGACTGCTCTTAGGAATTTGGTCCCCAGGATATATCCCTTTGTGACTGACCTGCAGTCACCAGCATAAAGACCAGCCTGGTGCTAGAGCTCCCAGTGTGAAAGAGCTTGCAGAAGAGCAGGAGTTATCACATCTGTTACAGCCTACCTCTAACTACAGTCACCGCAGGAACAAGAGAATCTGTTGAGCTGCAGTCCCACAAATGGAAGGACAACTCAGTAAATCATTACCCAAATTCCCTTCCAAACAGTCCCAGAAAATGCAACCCAGACCTTCTTGTCAGAGGCACATTCTTTATGGTGACAGGGGGACAGAGGGCAGTGGATGACCCTGGGTGGCAAAGCTGCTGTGACCACCCTGCGGTCGGAGCCCGCAGCGCTCCAGCCGTGCTCTGCCACCCCCGAGTGCGAGCTGCAAACGTTGGGCGTGGAACAGGGGCTGCTTTGCACTCAGCTAGCAGGGACTCAGGCTTTGAAACATCTTCAGCTGCTGAGGTATATGTACTGTAGAACATAAACCAACTCATACACTTCCCCAGCTACCACAATCTAAAGCTACATTGGAGTGGTCATTTTATCCAAACTATCTAACAAAATGCATACAATTCATTCTGTTAAAGTAAAAAAAGACTTGCACTATAAGCTTCAGGTTCTTTTCCTTCTTGACACTTAAGACTTCTGGGAATCTGACTGCTGGAAGCGGTTTAACTTCTCTGGATTATTTGATGCCATTTGAGAAAAGTCACGAAAAATGTCCTGATAAATTTCATCTCCTAGGTAGAAAAGAGAAGAGAAACAGTTTTAAACATTTGTAATAGTCAACATCACCCACCATTGCACAAATGCCCTACTGTGCTATCAATTACTGCTTAACACGTAATTCATGTATGAATACTGCTTCTAGATGGAGTGATACTGATGTGAACTCTGAAGGACTGGTTACTTGCATGCATGTTCTGTAGAAGCAAATTAAACAAAGCCAAACTATACCTGAAATAGTACCTCACAGGCAGCCACACAGAGGAAAGTTCAGAGTTAGAAAGGAAAAGTTAAAGCACTTTAAAGCAACTTAAAAAGAAAAAATATTTATTAGCGGTTAAAGGATAAAATCCTTGTTTGGGCAAGGAAATGCTAACCAAGATTTTCTACAGAAAAAAAGATTTATGACATAAATAAAAATTTACTTGGAAACAAAGATCAGAATTCTTACAGCCAAACAGAATTCTCCATGAAAGAAACAATCAGCAAGCAATAATATATATATTTAAAAAGAGCAGTCTTACATAGCTAAATTATTGTCCATAAATTATTTTTGTCTATTACTTCAGCAAAAATAGAATTTCTACATTCACTTCATCTACATCTTTCATTACATTTTTCAGTTTGATCTATAAGAACAATGATACTTCCCCTAAAAATCTTTTCTTTTTCTTTAAATCTTCACCCTTTGTGCTTAAACACAACCCTACTACTAAAACATATTCCAAAATGTGTTCCTCCCCCTCCCTGTCTACACAGGAAAACACATTCAGGAGTGATTATTTCTTGAGTCACTGCCAAGTCATTCTTTTGCCACTTTAAAATGGACTTTTTCATTCATTCTCACATTTTTTCATCTACTGGAGAATTTTGGGCCTTGAGCTCAAGTTCTGTTTTAAAACATGAACCATACCCTTTCATCTTCAAAAGGAATTAAATGCATCAAACATTGGGTTGGGCCAGGAGCTATGTAGCCATTCAAATGTTAGTCTTCCCAACACAATGGCCACACAGGACACAAGATCCCAGCACTACTGTTTCTTGCTGACAGCTTGATTAATAGCATGACAAAAGAAATCAACCCCAAATCTCTCTCACTGTGTATGTCGAATATGAAGATTTATTTTTTTTCCTAACATGATTGTGGAAGAAAATAATGTTGTTGTGCTTAAAAGTTTGCACTACTGGGAAAAGTTACATTGTTTTGGTTTTCTATTTTTTTATGCACATTTCCAATGTCAAAACTATCATTCTTTTGGAGATGAGACTCCATTCTTTTAAAAACACTTTCACAAATAATAACTGACCTTCTAGAAATATTTAACAGGGCAGTAACTCAATTTTTCCCAGACTTTAAAATATTAATACATTCAATACTGCTCTATTAGGAAAAGTCAGTTCTAGAGAAATTCTCTTTTGGTTTTCAGATTTCATTTCAAGTATTTCATTTCAAGTCCCTGCCCATGGCAGGGGGGTTGGAACTAGATGATCTTTAAGGTCCCTTTCAACCCAAACCATTCAGTAACTCTGTGTTCTAGAGATGAAGCAGGCACAGGACAGGTTTTATTGTAACAGCTTGTGAGAACTTCTTCCTCTGGGAGACCAGCACAGAATGGAGCTGTAACATTTACCAAAAGAATAGCTACAAAGGGCAAAAGCAGAATTAAACTTCTGTGACAAAAGCAATGACGCTTTTAATACAGAAGTGGGCTCCACTGGTGAATGAGAACTGCAGTTCAAATTGCCACATTTGGTTCTTTCAAATTAAGTTGAAAGAAGAAAAAGCTATTTTTGGAAGATAGATTGTGGCTCTGGCTTTGTCTCTATTACATAACAAAAATATTACATACAAAAATAGACTAAAATAAAGTGCCCCTTTAATTTGTATGTTGCATTAATATGCTTAATACTGTAAACCTTATAATTATTTTTAAATTCTACTTTAAAATTGAATTCTGGAAGTTCCCTTTCCAAGCAATGTTTTCCCTAAAGTGCAGATTATATGTACAAAAATACTGTAACACTGCTTTACCATTTCACACCAGAGTAACTCAAAAGGCACACATCATACATTCAAGAAAAGGTAGGAAGAAAAAGTAGCAATGCTAATATCAAAGAGTTAGCAAGACATAGTGTAGCACCAGGAGATGAGCACTCAAGTATTATACAGAAACAGTACCATGGTGTAATATGGCTTCTACACCAGAAATAACTTTTTAAAGCTGGTTTCAGCTAGTTCCCATTCCAGGAATGCTTTGGAAGACCAACTGTACCTTACAAAGCAATATATCCATTCTCTCAGTAGCTCAAACCAGCCATATCTATTTAAATTATAAATTTTGATGCCATTAGCTACATGAGCAATTGTTTATCGGCTGCATTGCCAGAGCTGGGAAGTAGGCAGTTGGCTTCACTCTGATGACAACAAACTCATACAATGATATTTACCCTCACACAGCTACCAGCAAATACACAATTATCTTGCAAATCCTTATTTTCTTCTAGAATCATAATTTTGGAACACTGGAGTTCTAAAGTAAGGGCAGTGCAGGTAAGTTAACATGTATAAGCAGCGAAAAAGACCTGCATCCCTTAAAACCACAGAAAGGTGTGACACCTCATGACAGCAGACAGGTTCTTACACTGACACAACCCTTCTATAGCAGAAAAAGCATTCAAAACACTCAAATATTAACTCCAACTTTTAAAAGAAACTTCAACAAGTACCAGAGTGAAGGGTGCAGAGCTGTGCTATCCAAAGATACCGTAAGTTCTCTGGCTGAGACTCTGTGCTCCAGCTTGTGGCATTAATTTCAGAAGTTATTCTAATGAAAGCCTGCCCCTGATTTTGGTCAAGCTCTGCCTGTTGTGGCAAACCTACTCTTTACTGTCAATCTCACCTTACCAGCTGTAAAGTATCTGGATCAGATTGCATCAGCTGCAGTCTCTAGATTCTACAGCTCCAATCTGGTAACATCTCCCCTGCCCAATCCTCATGAGTCAGTGGAAAACACATGAGGGCTTTATAGGAGTGAACTGAGAGTACTCAGCACTCAACCTCAAAAATAAGGTTAATCTTTCACTTCTGCCAGGAATAGCAGGGTATTTTCAGCTGTCTAACTTCACAATCAAGTGCGCCTTCATTATTGGTACTTGCATGATATTATATTACCTTCCTATGGAAGCAAATATCACATCAGAACACGGTGTAAATTAGATCTGAGTGCCTGAGAATAAAGTCGCACATATGCATTAAATATAATTTGTTACTTTCCTGCTGGAGTTGGCTCAAGTATCTGCCAGCTTCTATTTTTTTTAACCAAACAGAAAGAAACTCTGCATACAAAAATACATAGTTAAGAATGACTGCTTTGTTTCTTATTAGTATCTTAACAAATAAAAATATTTAAAAATAAAATGTAAGGAAATAATACTTTCCTATTTTTGTCTGGAGGCAGTTTGAAATATCTGATGTACATTTTTTACACTGGTGTGCAAGCATTTTTTTCTTAAGAAAGAAAAAGCAGACCATTCCACAGGAAGGAGAATGGTGTCTTGGAATAAGGTGAACTCTTCAACAGTCTCTAAGCAAGCTGAGTCAGAAAGCTGCTACTAAATAATGTCAGGTAAATCCTAACATGACACAAATGTCAATGGAACAGCAATAGGAGAAAACTGTGGACAGCTACTAGCAAAATAGGGTGGTCATGGCTGTAGTAACACACTGCTATAATGATGCTCTTTAAACAGTCTCCTTTTAGGTTCCCTAAGTACTCTGATGAAGTCACACCACTGAATTTCTATGAAGCTTTAGAATGTGTTGGTTTATAAAAAACATTATTGTATGAAGCAATCTTAAATTTCCCTCAGACACTAAGACTCTAACTGCAAACTGATGAATTCCTGTATACACTTCTTATACTGCATTTCAGTGTGGTTATTAGAAGAGTATTGACCTGGCTGCCCATAGAGTCCTTCTGATTCACGCATTTCTTCATTCATCCTTGCTAAACGCAACCTGCCATTCAGAAAACAAAAGGAACAACGTCATCTTTAAAGCACAAAAAACACTACAATGCAAGACCTGCAACACTCTCCTGAATCTCACATCAAAGAGGTGAGATAGATAGAGTATTTTGACTTTTCTTTTGTTCTCCCCTGTTTTTATGTACAGGAATTTTGACATTTCTTTTATTTTTAACTTGGAACAGAATAGCAAAATCTAAGTTATCAAGTCAGAAAACAGAATGTACAACTTACAGTGTTACAATATCTGCATTTGCAGCTTCCACTGCTATACTCAATGGATCTTTCCCGTCTTCATCAGTGGCATGCTGGTTTGCTCCTCGTTTTAGGAATAAGCACACTTGTCTGTTTAGAAAAAAAACCATTGAATAATATTTTTGACAATAAAGGAAGAAAGCTAATAAAGTCAAGCTAGATACAATGGATTTAGCTTAAATCATCAAAAGTCTCATATATATCAAAATAGTGCAGTTCATCTAGAACATGTTAACAGGGTAGTAAGCAAACAATTTCTTTAACCCACACGAGAAAACACATATGTTTTGCTATTGGATCAGACTGCTAAATCAAAATATTATTTCCTTTCTCACAACTAGAGCTTAAGAAAAACTTGTATCACCTGAAATAGTACTAAAATGTCAGAATATCTGGGGCCATGAAGAAGCTTCCCATGAACAACTACAGTAAAGGATGGCCATGTACAAATTGTGGGGCAGTGAGTTACCCAGTGTGTCCTAGAACTGTGGCATGGTGCAGGGGCCCCCTTCCTTTCATGTCTCTGATGTTCACGTTGGCCCCATTCTGCAGCAAAAATTCACAAGTAACCAGTGAACCCTATGGAATCAAAACAAAGAAACAACTCAGCACCAGATCTCTAGAATCATACCACACTTTTTCTGCCTTTTCACCACTGAGCCACCCAATAAATGAAACAAAAGGGAGTTGCTTCCAACTTTAAACAGAGAATTCATAAACATTCTACTAGACATAGAATTCCAAACAAAGCATTAACAGGAAAAAATATTCCAGAAACAACTCTGAAAGAACACTGTAAGCATAACTTCAGCATCACATTATCATTCATTAGGGAAGCAAGCAGCTCATAGTGACACAGAAATATCTTTATTTCCCTTGCTCTCCTCCCCCGTATCACTAGTGCTGTACATCACATACCCCTCGCACTGCCTGAATGAGTGGTGTTGCTTTGTTTTCTTCCATGTTGACCCAGTTTACTTCAGCTCCATGAGCCAATGCTTCTGCCATGTGAGGAAGATTTTTCTCAAAGGCAGCTTGATACAACTGCAATCCTGGACTAGGCTGCTTGTAGTCACAGAAAACTGGAGACTCTTGCTTGTCTCCTTCTGAAAAGAAAAAAAAAATTGCTTACCTAATTCCTGTTTTAATAAGGTACCTCTTGGAAATCTGATCAAAACATCATTTCTCTGGCAATAGGTAGCTCAGCTTTTGCAGAATGCTATGTATTATTGCCCCATTCTGCCAGGGGAATTCACAGATGCCTTTAGCCCCAGTATTCAGGCACAGTCTCTTCATAGAATTATTACTGCATTGAAAACCTTCTCTTCACATTATTGACACGTGTATATACTTCAATCTACATATTCCATGTAATTTCTAAGAAATTATTTAAGGTCAGTGTGTGTTTTATTGTAAACTGCAAGATATGAATAAAACTCATTTTCTGCAAAGATGTAGTCATACAAATGTATCTTTATCTGAAACACCAGAGTATGAGGCTAATACTATTCTGACCTAATTTTTGTTAATAGATACCATTGTCATTCACCAATTACTTGCTGCGGCTATAATCTTTTGGACTAACGCAGAGTCTTTCTCTTCATCTCAGTAATGGTTATATGGAGTGAAGTCTGGGAGATAAAGAGGTTTCTACATAGGAGCTTTTGTGAGTTAGAGCACCATAAATATTTCTACAACATAATCAAAAAAGATACAAGCCACATGCTGCCTGTCCGCAATAACACCTGTGAACTACTGGATTTAAAACATACCTTATAAAAGAGCCTGATGTAGAAGAATAGGTCTGCTTTATAAACAAATGTTTTGGAAATTTTGAGAAGCCATACTCAATATATCTGTCAGAACAGCATGCTAAAATTAGCAAATAATTTAATTCATCAAATTATAGAACTTCTGAGTTGAAGGAACAATGTTTAAAGACTTGGTCAATTCCACAGAAATAAGAAACAGAAAAATGAAGCAAGAATGCACAAATAACACATAAAGGCCTACTATCTGCGACTCAAGAGGAATTCTACCTCTGTGGATTTATTTACTTATAAATGGATCATGCATTTGGGATCAGCCTCATCTGACTGGGAAAAAATCATAGTTCTCTGAACCCATTTAGAAGGATTAAATGTCATTTTTGGTAGCAAGCCCAAAGAAAGATTGGTCAGGCAAATTTTACCCTTGCTAAAAGCATTTCAACCAGGATAGTAAACATGAATTGTATCACTAAGCATTAATCTTTTTTACAAAAAAAAATGCTGCCAAGTGATTAAATTTTCATCTTACAGTGCAAAGCCTAACACACCTGGTTCATACAAACTGTTGGCTGATATAGTAGAGGCAAGGTGTTCTCTGCTGTCATCAGTGCTTGGCTGGATCCCACTGTCACTGCTTCGGACTGTTTTGGGGAGAAACTGCAATTACTATGCAGAGCTGAAGCTACTTGCTCCTCACAGATACCATGATAATAAAGCAAGCTCTTATACTTGGTCCTGAATATAATTTTTAAAAAATGGTTGTTCTCATTCAGTATTCTTAATACATTCATAGAAAAATATAAAGTCACATTTTGTAACCATAACATTTACAATAATAAAAATAACTGTAAAAGATAACTATAAATTAAAAAAAAATCAGGATAAGTAAAAAAGCTTAAATTATTTCATGAAAATACCAAGCAATGCAGCAGCCTGGAGACAAGAGACAGAAGCAGGGAGATGGCCACAACACACAATGGATCACTAGTGCAAACAGAGAACACGCCACAGCTGTAGTACTTACTACTACGGAGTTTTGAAGAGGTATCAAAGTAGGAGAAGAGTGAATCAAGCTCATCAGGACAGAACAGAGACTCCCGCCTTGCCTCGTCGCTACTTACAGCAACCGCTGGGACATGCAGGTTAGCAAAGCACAAAGCAGGCAGTAAGGAAGGGACAGGGCAGGAAAGAAAGTTATTGGAAAAACCAAGAAGGATGAAATTACTGAGGAAAGAAGGTGGTTAATATGATTCTGAGTTATAAGCATCCCCATTCCAAATCCTTCCCCATGTGAAAAAAAAATCACATCTCTGAAGAAGTCTTTTCTTCCCTACACTCTACACTAGGCTACAACCCATTAATAAAACAGATTCCATAGTCTCTGCATGAGGCAGAAGTCAATTAATATAAAAATATATTACCTTAAAATGAATATAGGTAATGCAGCTAAGGAGAGAAGTGTGTAAATACCTTTTTGGGATGCTGCACCTTGTTCCCTTGCCAAAAGAGATTTTTCAGGGCCACTGTGCCTTTTCTCTTCCTCACTTGGAGGCAAAACTTTTGTTCCAGGCTCAGGCAGAGGTACTGATGCAGCTTGCTTCTCTACAAACTTTCTTTCCACATATTTTGCTCTGATGTATGCCTCCTTCTCCTGCCTGTCATATACAAAATTCTTGGAGTTAGTAAGCTAATATTTTAGTATTTTCATGTATTAAAAAAATATCTATTTTTACTAAAGTCAGTAACCGAAACTGTAGCTTGGCATTGCACATAAGACACACCTATAGCACATTGTCAGAAAGATGCAAAGCACACTGTCACTTTAAGGATTCTTGATTAAATTTTACAATAAGGCTCAAAAGGAAGTAATTTTGTTAAGTTCACAAACATGTATTTACTTACAGACAGAGACTTTAGAAAGTGGTATGCAGAAGAAATAAGCATTAGTTACTCTATGTTACCCGTATTAAACCTTTATACATGTTTACATTGTTAATAAACATATATTTAGTTTCTAATGTAAATATAAATTGCAGCATTTGTTACAGGAACATTAAGATTACACAAGAAAACAATAAGCTCTAGGCAGGCACAGCAATCAGTTCCATATCACATATTGAAGTATTTTTCCTCGTAACCTGAAGCTATCAGCTTAAAACACAACAGCAGTTGTTCCAAACTGATAAAAGGGGCTGTAATTATTGCATTGAAACTGCTGAAAAGCAGTTACCACTAGAAAGAATATCTCACAAATTCCTACTTTGTTTATATTATCATCAGTGTCTCCAAATTGCCAACACTGCATAAAATGCAGTTTTCTATACTAAAAACTGCTGGGCAGCAAGCATCACAGAACTGGAAAGGTAGTAAAAAAGCAAGTTTTAAGAGACAGCCTATACAGCAGCACAAAGCACTGGGAATCTACCTTCAAACATAGATTAGCATCAGAGAAATAGAAGACAGCAGTAGTATAATTTGAAGGCTGTTGTAAAGCAGCAGAGCTCATGTACAATGTAGGTAGGAAGAGGAGAAGATTCTGAGGTCAGGGAACAAAAATCAAACGGAAGAACAAAGTCACTGTAAACAAAATGAACAGACACAGGCTCCTTCCAGGAGCACTCCCACACCAAGTCCAGCTGGTGAGCTGGTACCCAGCAGAGAGGAAACAAAACCCACATGTCCAAAGTGATGCTCTCGAGCTGTCATCAAAAGGAGGGAGTGAGACCACAAAAAGAACAAATGAAGAGGAGAAGCAGAAAGGGACCAAGAGAAGGAATGCCCAATAAAGAGAGAGAGTGAGAAAAGGGAGAGAGCAAGACATAGTGGGGATACAGGAAAAGGAGTACACTAAAGGAGTGTAACACAGTTAAGTGGCAGCGTCTTTTACAGGTGGAGGCTGAAGGAAGCAACAACAAAAGAAAGAAACAGGCACTGCTGGTAAAATACTACCTTTGACTTCCAGATTGTGGCTTCTTTACTCCCACTTTTTCCAACTTCGCTTCATATATTCTATTTATAACATCATTTCCCAATTCACACATAAGCTATAAAGCAAAATGAATAAATTCAAATACAGTTGCAAAAAGCTTTAGCTACATATTCAGTTGTTTTTAACCTCACTCAGCCTGTATTTACAACTTAGTGTTTTCACTGGTAAAAGTACACTTACAGAAATAAGCATGGGTTTATACAATAATAATGAAACAACCAGTGAACAGAGAGACCAAATTCTGAGTAAGGTAAGAAAAAAAATCTAGTCACTTTTAAAGTACCTGAAAAAACAACCACCAGAATGACACCTGCAGGCCTCATTAACAAAGGTGTTTTTCCATCAGCTTTGCCAGGAGCTCTTCTTAGCCCCTTAGCAAAAGACAATTCAGTCAACTGTATTCCACCTTACCGAATGGACATTTTTGCTAAACCATAATCTGATACAACTATGGAAAAGAAACAGAGACAAAAGCCTACTTACAGGAGAATTTAACCCTATTGATTGCAATGAACAGACTTCTTGTTTCTAATACCAGGTAGAATACTAGAATACTTAGCTCTGGTATTTACATGAACAGTACAAGAGGTACAGTTTTTTTGGGGTTTTTTTTTTTTTTTTTTTGGACTGGGCAAGGGGGTTGGTTGGTTGTTTTCTCAGCATGAACACATTGATAAAAAATTATTTAACCACAAAGCACGTTGTCTTTTGATTGTTCAGAATAGAAAAGCAATTTCTAAGTGGCAGAACATCACAGCTAGAAACAAATGTTTGCATGAATTATCCAGTTGCATCCATGCATCCATGCATGAGTTCCTATTTCAGGATTTCAGTGTCACATGATTTTTATAACCACGGTTCAAGCTAGAAATTTGGCACACAAGAGCAGTTGCATGAGTATTTTTCTACAGACCAGACGCCTCTCACTGTTAAGAGCTGACATTCAAATTTTTGAGTATGATAATGCTTTAGGCTGATATATCACTTCCAAAATTTTCAGCCCACTGAAACGACGTTATTGGTTTGTATACAGATTTGCCTTTTTATATATTGAAAGTATCAGATGAAACTTGCTACTCAGAGTGCACTTGGGAACCTGAAGGTGCTGTAAGTTGTTCTGAATTGCAAGTTTGTAGCACAAATTACTGTGAAGTATAAGAAAGTATGAATTAAAATAAACCAACACACAAGTATAAACATTTTCTGCTCAAAACTGCAAGACATACACTGGGTTCAAATGTATTTCTTGCATTGAACTTTCTGATGCAGAGGCTTTAGAACAACAATCTAAGTATCAAACAGAAACCTGTTTCAAAAACACTGTACCTTTAGTAGTTCAGGTTCCCATGAATCCAACGTTAAAGATCTTACTTTTGAAAAGTGGACTCCCAAGCTCCTAAACAACATGGAAAAAATCATTAACTTGTTACACCTTACCTCAGACAGATTTACCATTAATTTATGCAAATAAAGCAGTTACCTTAATTCTATTTACAAACAAGGGTCTCTAATTTTCTTTAAATATACCTTAGAAGAGGCAAACACCACCCTTGCTAATTAAGCCAATGCACAAATGAACTGCAGTTGTGAGTGTCCCCAACCTGTGTATCCCAGAGCACTCGATGCACAGTGTGATTCCCAGGTTGATGCTGGCCCAGCGAGGATCTGCCAAACCACAGTCACAGCAGGCAGCATTACCAGCAATGCACTGGACTCGCTGCAGAGCACTCTCTCCTTTCAACAGCTTCTCTTTTGTCTCACTCCCAGATTCTAGGCTCCCAGTAGAAGGGGATGACTTCTTTTCCTGTTTCTAAAAGAGAAAAGACACAAACAAACCCATTAAGAGACATGCTAAACTAAAGAAATTAAAGTCCCACAGATACTGACTGTACACTAAAATACAAGAAAAGTCTTTTCTACCAAGGTCAAGGAAAGCCACAGAATTAAAAAATGTTTAGGTTTTTAGAAGATATATAAAACTGAATATAAGAATATCCTATGATATTTAGTCACACTAGAGAGAAATCTCAAAAAACCATACAGGCCATAGTGATATTAACATGATGAAGTGAAAGACAGATGAGATACAATTCATAGCCTTCAAAATTTAATTGTATTTCCACTGGAAGACAAACAATGGTTTGTTTCTTTCCTTCTCTCTCATTAAAAGAGGCTTTATGTATTTAGAATTTTCAGGATCTAAAGGGAGGTTGTTGTTTGGTGGATTGTTAAACTCACCTCAGATTCATCCCCTTTTTCTCTATATGCTGTGGCAATACTGGTCTGAACAGCCTTAATCCATGCCTGCCGCAGCTTTTCCGAGTCGGCCTGAAGCATGCAGCTCCTGTGACAAATCACAAAGTACTCAGAGACAGTGGCCAAGCAGCTGACATCCAACAACTCATTGCTCAGGGGTCTGTTTTCATGGAGCAAGATTCTTGCTATCACAAGTTTAGTAGGCATCACGTAATAAAAACATTTATTTTAAGATAACAAAGCAGCTGAGCCTTTGTGAGCTGCAAACTCCTTATTTCAAAATTATCTGTAGGTAATGCTAATAGATACAGAAATGGCTCTTCCAGAAACACTGACAATGACTTAGCTTTCTTACTCCAAATTTTTCTTTTTTATGTCTTCAAATGCATTTTACACCCATGACACAAGACACAGATATCAGTCCTTGAAAACACACTTTCATTCACTGAGATCAAGACAGAGTAACTTTAAAGCTCTCTGACAAAGAATGAACTACTTTTCTCATCAACAGTAAAAGAAGCAGGTCATGAAGCATAAAACTGTTCCAACACTTATGGGTTGAAAAAGCACAGGCAAGCAAGAGCAAAATGCTGTGGCTCACATGTGGGAATGCAAACATCAGGATGGACAGCAATCTACTCAGAAGAGAAATGTAAGGAGCAGTGGAGAGCGTAGATAACCTCCAAACCTAAAAGCAAGTTGACCTCATATCGAAAACTTAAATAATAACTTCACATCTCACAATCACTAACGAAGAATCCAAGTCCTGCCCTTGCTGTGGCAGGATGCCAAAATTTCCCAAGTACAGCCCCCATGCATTGCTGGAGCTGAAGAATAATTTTATTTGGTAGTGTCATTTAGTGCATTCTGAAATAGAATTTATCATCACTGAGACAACAACTTATTTATGTGTTTCTCTCTCATTGCACCAATCAAACGTGGAGAAACTGAGACCAATTTTCTACATTACTAAGTAGCTGATAGTATCAGCTACTACTAAGCCATGGCAGAGCTCTGCGCCACAAGCCATTTATGCAAAAAGCACAGGAATGCATGTTTATTTTAATGCCAAAAGTAAACTAAATACCAGGGACACTTCTCACAGCATCACTTACTCTCAGCCAAAATTTCAGAGAGAATTTTTCAGATACTTTCCCTGTTTTGATCTATCCCAAGAGAAATGTTAATCTTACATTTTAAAGCAACCACATGTAATGATTCTTATTTTTAAATTAACATACTCAGTTGCTTCTCCTTACTTTGTTGGAGAAACCACCTCAAAACAGAAACGTCTTTCTATGTCTTCACAGTGTTTAACTGTGCAGAGCCGCAAGTCTTCAACAACTACTGTGGGATTATCCTAAGAGATAAAAATTAACAAGAAAGTCACAGAGAAAAAATAATATAGTTGATAATAAGATAATAATTCAATCCTGAACCATTAATCATTGAATTCTATTTGCCTGGTTACACTAATTTTTTCCTTCAAAACTAAAATTTGAACTCAGTGGATTTGGAGATCTACAATCCAATCTACTGAATAATCAACACATTAAATTTAAACATTATTTAAGCTACAAAGATACTCTAAGAAATGCAATTAACTCACTATTAAATCTGTAAAGTTATACTTAAATCAGCAGTATTTTAAGTGCCACATAAAAAAAACCCAGAAACTGAATGCAGTGGTTTTGAAAATTTGATTCAATTCGTAAGAATTCCATTCTGAGCTATCAGCATTTTAAAGGTCCAGTTAAAAAAAAGAGCAACAAGAATTCACAAACACAGAATGCCCATCCAAACATGCTCAAACAAACTCAACTGTGTGTTTCCTTTCCAACCACAGAAATGAAGCTCCTTGATTTGACAGCATCAGATTGCAAGGAACAGCCTCTGATTCCAGTCTGTTTGCAGTGAGGAGGAGTTAATTGCCATAAGCTCTTTCCTCTTTTTTTCCCCACCATCTCCATACAGTTTCTGTTTTTTTCCAACCTGAAGAACAGCTACAGCTCCTTGGTGTAAAAGCAGATTCTAGAACAGCCAACAAAGGAGCAAGGGCCCAAAACCTGACTGAAAAGGTTTCTATGGCTTGGGGCAGAGCTGAACTTGCTGATTTAACATGAAACAGCTGCACTTCCCACCAGCAACGAGGCAGATAATGACTGCTGAGCCACCGTGCATTTTCAACACTAAATACGTGTATATAGCTGCCCTGACTGCTTTGTAACAAGCTTTTGTGCTTTTTTTTCCCCAGTTGCTGAATTGGGTGTGTGAACCAGTAAGTAACTGGTGGGAGCAAGTCCTGAAAGAGTTAAACACAACTGCTCAGAGAACAGCATGGAATATTTGACTGCCAGCAAGTAAGCACAAGCCCTTTGGGACCAACAACTTTTAAAACTCTAACTAGGTTACAAAATCCACAGCAAATAGAGTATGTGCTTACAATCAGTGCACAGGAATCTCAGAATCTGTCAGTGTAGCTATTAGACTCATTTTACAAAGAGAGAAACTAATTTAGAAAAAAGCAGTAGGTTGTTGAAGATCACACAGGAGGCACATCAGCAGTTTCCCCAATCAATCAGGAAAATCATCACCCAAACCCCAAAGCCAGTTTTCAACTCCTACCTTAAACTTCTTCTGGTACACAAGTTGGTTATTTTGTATTGAGAACCAGCGCCTATTCAAATGAAGAGACAGCCAGAGAATACATAACTGATTTTACAGTGCTTATGTGACTGAGACGTGCTAACATACAGTCTACAAAAAGACTGCATAAAAGAATTCAGGAAAGTAATACTGCAGTCAATTTTGGCAAATATTTCATGAGAATAATGAACAAAGGGGAAGCAGAGACAAAACAGAAAAGAAAGCAAGGTTCAAATAATTTGAGTCATAAACAAACACATTCATGTTATGACAACATTAGTTAAGCTATCACACAAAACATTTTCATTTTAAATAACATTTCCTTCAGTATTTTAGCAGCAAGTTACAATTTTAAGTAGTCGTTTGATAAACAAATTCAGATAGTTTGAATAACAAAAATACTTACACCCATGTAAACTAATCCTGAAATAATTTTGGGAGTAGAACTAACTTACTAAAGCACTAAAAATGCTTCGGTGATGCTATCCCATGCAGGTTTCATATCTGTCTACATTGGGCATGTCTGAAATAAAAACACTGCATATAAAAACTAAAAAAAAATCCAATTAAAACCTTTTAAGTAGGATCCTAAACTAAGCCTCAGTTTTGATGGAAGATCAAATAAATCAAATAAAAGATTTAATGAAGGGATCCTGTAAAATCCAAAAGATAATATAATGCTTAAAAATTCCTCTGAACTGTATCCTTCCTTGTCAAACTCACTGTTCACACAGGATACATCTCAGAGAATGGAAAAAGCACTCACATTTTAGAAAAAAACCCTCTCAGATCTGTAACAATGATGTTTGATCAGACCACTGAATGAAAAAAACCCCATTAGATATAACCATGCCTTTCTAGCTCTTCCAAGGATGCACAAAATAAAAGCTAACCAATTATCACAGTTTCATTTTCACTGACAAAAATGAAGGGAATGTAAAAGACAATTGAGTGAAATTTACACCTTGTTTTGTTCAGGCTTATAATGCAAACCTGTGTTTACCACAGCATAATTCCTCATTTATCTCCAATACCCCACCTTTACCACACATCACTTTTTCCTGCACTACCAGTTAGTTTGAATGGTAACAGTACATAAAATATTGTGTTGCAACAGATCTTGTTATTCTCCACAGGCTGTTGAGCTTCAAGCTACAGTTTACTACAATTAGTAACAAGAGGGCCCCATGTATTTGTTCAACCACCACAAGCCATTCCTGGAAATAAGTGCACAAAGATGGTTAGGAAAAATTAATATATACAAAAAATGTTAGATCCAAAACAGAAAAACTAGTATTTATTAGAAAGGTTAGTGTTTCATAGACAGATGAGATTCTACCTTTTAACAATCTTTTCAAATGTTGTGCAGATATATTTAATTTAAAAAGCAACAACAGGATCTCCTGTCATTCTTGACTTTTTAAATTTATTAACAGCAGTAGTTTTAGTCACTGCTAATGAAAAGGTGTCATCTTTACCATCTATTTGCAGATGCAGTAAGTATGCCCCAAATATAAGGCAGGTTATTGCTAATATTCGTATAGAAAGCTAAACAAAAAAGCAGACTTGAAAAGGAAATAAACTCATGTCATTTTTCATGTGCTTTTTTTGAATGTAACACAAAATAGAACAACATGAAAAGCGGTGCCTAAGTGATTAAAGGAGTGGTAGAGGAGAAAAAAAAAGCAGCCTTGCCCCAAGACAACGAGAAATGGAGCAAATCCCTAGTAAGAGCCTTAGGAAGTGCAATTAACTTCATTAATGCAATGCTTCATTTGTTCTACAGCTAAATATTTCATGAGTTACTCTAGTAAACAAGCTCTAATCTCATCAGTTGGATATAAGTGAACACACAAATTGTAACACGAATTTGTGCCATCTTTAAAATCTAGTCTAGAAGGTTTAAAAGTATTTCAGTCCCTTTTTTTTCCCTAGTAGAGAAATTAAATCTGTTAAAGAAAAAATTTCAGTCCAGCTAGAAAAGATGCAGGTTTTGGTGCTTTTCTAAAATAAACTTTTACTAAATGAGATCAAGAATTTAGAATGTAGATCACACTTTAGCAGTAGGTGTCAGAGTTAATACATTTTGTTTTTTTCTTAACAAGATTAAAGTGTCAGACTGCCCTTCAAGGTGTCAGCACCACTGCAGCTTTATTCAGGCCAAAAACTTGGAGTTATTCCTCATTAACCAAATAACATCAAAAAACTCTACACTTTACTGTAGCAAACAGACTGCTGGGGGTCTATACCAGAATCAGCCAGGAACTTCTGAGGTACAATCTCTGTACTGAAGGTGCTGCTGTAGGGTAACCCAAATCTACCAGGTTCTAAGAATAATTTAATAAATCTTCAGGCATCATGTGTGCAATAAGTACTGACTATTACCAAATTTTCCTTAAATGTGTCATTCTATCAAAAGCAAGAGAGAAGCATGGTGAAGGAGAAAACATTCTTTGGAATATCACAGTAGTTTACACTGTTTTACTTCATAGTGGTTAAATACAGTTGTTCCTGTTTAGAAACGGAATACTTCCCCCCATGTATACCCACACAATTCAAAACTGTATTTATTAAATAGGAAACAATGAAAAATCTATAGAAAAAAGTCCAATTTCTGAGAACTGAGAGTAATACTGAAAAAAATATAAAACTTTAGTTTGACATAAAACAATGAATTGTGCTTTGTGATTCTCAGAAACAGTTTTCTCCTCTAGTTGCTACCAGCACACAATTAAAACAGAGTAATTAAGAAAGCACAACATTTAAAAGTACATGCCTATTCCCAATGCAGTTGATAAGACAAAAAAAAAAATCTCATCAACAGCAATTGGGAAAAGGCAAGGCAATGATCTTATATACTCAGAAGTTTGAGTGCAGAAACTTGGCTTTAATTCCTTTTTTAGCTAAAAACTAGCTCAATCCTTCTAAATCTTTTAAAGGAATTGAGCAGCAGGTATACTGGCATCCCAGGCAGAATCCTTCTGTTATTTTCTTAGACTGAGTCACTTACACATCCATTGCAAGTAATCAAAATTAAATGCAGGGTTAATGAAGAGCTTTTTGCGTGCCAAGGAAACATTGGGAAGGTATAAAAGAAGCTGGTTGGTACCTGATGTGATCTGGCTTTTTCCTGTCATGTGAAAAAATGGGGTAGGATTAAAACATAAGGGAAAGGAGGAAAAGGGATGAAAAATGCAAAATGACCAAAATAAGAAAAGAATTAGCATGATCTGAAAATACAGCAGAATTAAAAAGGAATACATCCATTGCACCCAATCTAGTGGTCTGACAAATGCTTTTCTCCCTACACACATTTATTATTTCTTTGTGATATGGACTTATTTTTCATTTGAATTTCTGGGAACCAAAAGAGCTTTCCAGCTACTGTTCCATAATAAATGCACCTAACTCTTGTCCTGATGCCTTAAGAAACCTGGTGTACAATAAGGTGTATAATTTACCAACAGACATACATTCTAAACACAGGTGTCCACACCTGTTACTCTAAGACTTTGCAGTACAAGGATATAATTTTGATTCCACTGCACAGTATTATCTGAAATACTTGGGTGCATTATGTCCTTTTAGTCATAACAAAGAGAGATTACAAAAGCTCCATTTCTTTCAAAACATAGTGACACTGAATTGCAAATAACTCAGGGTTTACTTTGCAGCCTGCTCAAACACTTATTTGTTTCTAAAGCCAGTGTCACACAGAAGTGTCCCAGGAAAGGAAACTTGATGCAAAAGCCCAAATAATTAAAAGTCTTGAGATGATGAAACATGAGCTGCTAGGTGCCACAGGAAGAAATTTCATTATGCTAGCAAGACATTAGTTTGGGTTGCAAACAAATTTTCATTCACCACAACAGATTTACCCCCTTCAAAGGGCTGTATTATAATCTTCTTTTTTTTTTCTCCCCCCCAGCAACCAGACTTTTCCCAGAATAATACCACTATGGGATTCACTGACCAAGACATGTACACAGAAGCACCACATTTCTCTCATTTGTCAGCTAGAATGATTCTGCTGTGTCAAACCCAGACAAAAACTATCATATCCTTATCTCTTCTCTGTTGATTTTAATGTTGGTAAGTATCTGCTAATAGTGGCCATTAGAATGGGTTTTGGTGCCTTTCATTCACTCTTGAAGGAGTTCTTAAAAACGTCTAGAACAAACATAAGACCAACTGATACCAATGGGAGTAAAAGAGAAGCCTCCATTTAAAATCCACATTACTACTGACTGCATTTAGCAGTTAGCAAGGAAGACCAGTGCTGTCACCTTTGGCTCAGAACAGCAGGAAATTCCAGTATTTCTAGACAAATTCTTCTAGTTTTGCTTCAGCTGGTTGATTTTTCACCCACCTTCCCCAAAGATGGGGATGTAATAAAGGAGCAAACTGCTAATCTGTAAGTATCTTGTCTGTCTTGACTTCAGCTCAGAATTCCCTAAAATAAAATACATAATTCTCTAAATGTTTCCTCCTCTGGTATTTTGTAAAACTTTACACACAAAACAGTTTAATGCACTGACAAAATCCTTTCTTGTACTTTAATTAGCAATAGGAAAAAACTTTATAATCTCTAATATATGATAAACTTCAAGCAGTACAATTCCCCACAGCTGAAACAGTAACACTACACAAGTAAAACTTTCCATCACAGGAAATAGGCAATGACGATTTCTGTGCCCACAGTATAGCAAGCAATTACAAATGTATTCAGAAATAACAAAAATATTTCTTTGTTAAAACATAGCAAAAATGGCAGACTAGATTCAGAAATTAAAACCTGTCTTCATTAAAGTCTTAAATGTATATTTTATGTATGATAAAAGTAGTTTAATAGCAATTAGTAATGGTTTGTGAATATGTGGAATACTAAATTTAAATGATTGATTCAATTTCAGAACTGTTTATAAATAGCATAGCCAATCCTATTTCTTGCCTTAAAGCATCCAATTTGTCTATCTCAGTGAGATAAATTATCAAGGATCTAATACTAAAAAGGTAAATGGTTTTCTTTATTAAATGCTCCCGTGAGAAACAGAAGAAAAAACTATAAGTAAATATCAATTATTTAATAAAAGTAGGCAGCTCTGACTCATTAACGAGCTGGTTATCTTTGCCCTCTTAAATTACTGCTTGGGTATGCTTTTATTATACTTGTTCAAATCTGCAACCTAATCTGTAGGAATGTCACTGTGTATCTTGATTTAATTACAACATCTGCTTATTTACTTTGTGTCCATTTAAATTACCAAGACACAGAGGTTAGTTTTAATTGAATCCTATTCTCTAATCACTTCAAGGTAAGATACATGTACAGTACTCCTAGGAATGAAGCCATGTGGAAGCAGACACTCCTGTCCTGCTCTCGCCTGTCACTGCCCTGATATTCAGAGTTTCACCATCAGTCAATCCAGCAATGGCAAAAAGGACCCTTTAAGCCCCTTGAGAATCCAATAAAGGACAATCTTCTGCCCTATTACTGCAGATTTTTCTCAGTATGCTAACACTAACATTTTACTTTATACCAGGAAGGTGCTTTTGACGAACATGTCCCAGTTTCCTCCCTTCACCATCCTTTGATGCTTCATAGATTTATCTTGGAGAACTCTGAATTCTGTGTGCATGAAACTAACCCAGAAAATACATTACAATTACAGATGAGTAATAAGGCCAAAGGACCAGACCAGAATCAGTCCAAAGCAAAATCCTTTGTACTAGTTGCCCATGACTTGCTAACATAGATACAGTCTTATTGACTCCAGCGGCCCTTCCATCAGTCTATGGATTTAATGAAGTGATCCCAATTTCTTACAAGCTTGTGGTGGCTGAGATGCCTAAGGAAGTACAGAATAAGTAAGATTGGAAGGGACCACCCACTCAAATAAACATTCTGTCCTTTGAAACACAGCAAATAGTTTAATAGAGGCAACATGGAAAAAATAGCAGAACATCGACAATAGAGAGCTATTTATCACAACAAATTACATCTAAAATTCAAGAACTGTATCCAACCACACTGTAAATGCTCCAGCATATATATTTCCTTGAAAAAAGCACACGCCCTTGAAAATGTAAAAGAAATCCTGTTCAGGAAGAAAAATATTTAAATAGTAGTAAAATATACATTGTTAAAGATAAATGACTAACAATATATTTTGAATTCCCAAAAGGGTCATCAAAACTACTAAGCAAAAGCCACTGCACAGGACAGGAATTTTAAAGGATAACAATTGCATTGCTTATCTTTCATGAAAAATAACTTGAGTGCTTGACTGTGTTTCTCTGCTTCCACTGATTATACAGCTTCTATTTTACTCTGTCTTCTAACACTTTCCTAGCATGTGCTTTCACAAGGGAAAAGTTTGCAAACAACTAGCATAGAAAACAAGGGAAAATGGCTGTGAAGTGTCATCTCTAAGTTAACTAACAGAGTCACCCCAGTGTTCTGTCAAAACTATGGACTCAATGAGTTACAGAGATTATGAATCAGACGAGAATTCAGATTAAAAAGCAGTATTTTTATAAGCAGCAAATAGAGGTTCTGAATAATTACCTGTTCCAAGTCTTGAAGGCATTGCTGGCTCGCTTGAATAAATAACCTTCCATAACAATGCCATTGGCTGCATCTACATTGTATTCTAGTTTAGCATCATCACTGGAATAATCCTAGTACAAAGGAAGAAGAAAAACACACTGCAGTTCAAATGAAACTTAAAATACGAGCAGTACTGTTGTCAAAGAGTAAATATCTAGGAATAAGGTTTTGCTTGCAGCACTTATTCATCAAACCATGACTCTCAGCCCCTGATGGCTTTTTTTTTAAAAAGCAATTTTAAGCAATGAGAATGCTGAAGATTTTTACTTTACCTGCAACAAGGGGAATTTCTTGTTCAGGTATTGGTGACCTCTACAGCCAAATAGAGGGCAAACATTGCTGACAGAGCATCTGATGCTTCAACTGCCTGGTCAAATGGTCTCTCATATATGCCCAAGAAAGGGGACAGAAAAGCAGAGGAGAAGAAGCCATGAAAGTTAGGAGTCAAAACTGAGAAACATCTGCAGCCTGTTGCAGATATGTATAAAGTCAGTTGTGCTTTAGCATTTTCTTCAGCTCTGTCATGTTGCAGCTGAGCTGCATAGGAACTTAGAAGATAAGTAATCAAATAAAGATGATACTATCAGTTAACTCTTGAGTAAAGCAATCATGGTGCTGGCACTGATGACAAGACCTTGGCAGTAATTTTTTCTTTGTGATCTTGGGTAAGATTACAAAATTACAACTAGGATAAGGGAATATGCATTTCCATCAACCTAATAACAACTAAGCCCAGCTAGTAACAATTAATAGCAGCTTTCTGAGCTTTAGAAAGGCTGACTGCTTCACATCTTTAGCAAAGGTAGGTTAGACTAATAATAATTGTAGCAATCATTTGCTTTCACATCTCATTGAGAACAGCATGGGCTCTTCCCAGGGAGGTAGAATTCAGATATTCAGAGAGTGGGAAGCTAACATCTACTAGGGGTGCATGAAAAAGCACACATGGAATGACATAATTTCTCACAACTTTGTCCAGAGCTGAAAATAATATACATGCTGTAATTTTATTTCACTGTTATTAAAATATATCTCCTTAAATAGACTAGCAACATATGGCTTCTTTCCTTTAACATAGGTGTAAGAGACACATTACTGAAAATTAAATTTCAGAAGAAAAAAACCAAAAAAGTTAAATATTGAAAAGACAGAATATTTTGTAACATGACTTTCCTGAAACTTCAGTAGTTACTTTTCATAAATTGCTAACATCAGCTTTGTGTGAAAAGTATATCTGAAAGTCTCTGTTTTGTACTTTGCTTCTTAGGAATTTGTCTATACATAAAGGAAAAGAGGCAATAATTATATATAAAAAAGTAGCTTCAACACCAACATGGTCATTATCCCCAGGAAATAGCCCAGGATGCACACAACTTTCGTGCTACACATGATGTTTACTCTTATACATGCAGATGGTTTGGTCCAATCCAAGGTTAATTACACATGATAGTGAAATGGTTACAAATATTAAAACGGACCCTTTAAGCTCCCCAGTCAGAATAGCACAAATTCCTTAAAATTACTCACTGTTTTCATCTATTACTAATCTGGATAGATTACCTAACCTTGAAAGGTTAAATATAGATTTTTATTATTGAATTGACAGATGATCAGTGCAAGAGTTCTGAAAGAAAATGGAACTATCATATCACTACCATACACTGATCTGAATAAACATACTAGTTATAAATAAAATCTCCACCAAAATAAAATCAAATTTTTGTATTTATAATTCAGCAATTAATAACTTTGATTTTCTGCCTGTTTTCTAGAGCAGAACATGCTGAACATAAAAGGCTTCATGTAAGCTCTCAAAATAAAAACGAGGAGAAAACCACTATGCACAAATTTAGACACACTGATGTCACATTCTCTACATTCCCCAAAAACTGATCAATTACTCTAACTTACCAGATCCCAAACATAATGAAATCTGCTAAAGATTTGCATCTTCTTGCCTCAGTGATGCCTGCAACTCCTTGTCTAGTTAAAGACAACACACATCTCCTCAGTCTTTTCTGTCCAACCTACTATGTAATCACATTTTCCTCTGGGTTTGGAGAACTGCTGCAGAAAATGCAGCTGTCTTTTCCAATGTCTCCAGATCTATGCTTTGAAGCTGTATATGGATCATTTATCATGCCATACTCTCAGTCAGAATTATCTAAAATACTGAGCCTTCTCATGAAATTAATTTCGTGTCATTTTTAATTACTTCCCTGATTGAATTCCACTTTTACAGAGCAGAAAAAGACACCAGAGTATAGAGGCAAATGTCAAATATCTCCTTAACTGAACATGGCAGACTACCAGCTGGAGCAGGGAGGGAATAAGGCTTCCACGTGCTTTATCCATAAAACTTTATTGACAAAGTTGTGATCAGTAAAAACAATCAGGGAAAAAAAAAAGCCTCATTTTAACTCCACAGATAAAAGTAGAAAAAGATGTTAAATTAGCTGTGTTCTGATCTTAGTCTCTGCTATTCTACAATTTAAAAAATAGGACCAAAGCAGTCACATTATAGTTTATTTTTATCTTTGTGCATGGAAAAGTTTAATGAATCATGAAAAATAATCTGGGGTGGAGAAAAATCCACCCATATCTTTCCAGTGTCCTGCATAAGAGAATCACATGTTAATAAACTCAGTCACTGTATGTGATTCAGAATTGTGTATTCTGCCAGCAGGCACACAACTGAGAAAGACTTCATTTTAAACATAATTAAACTAATTAGGTGTCAGTTAGGACTAAAGTAGACTTCACCTAACCAGAATTTAAAAAATTTAGCCAGTATTGTGTAATTTTCACTGAAGTGCTACATCACACATTTCATTCAGTTTTGAAAGAATAAACATCTATGGCTTCTCTTCTGACACTGATTTTTCACGGTTGGCTGCTACAGGAAGAGAAACACGTAGAAATGGGTTATGTAAGTGAAGCATACAGCATGCTTTCATGCCTTTTCTTTGCCCCATTTTCTTTAAATGTCTATAGGGTACAGCAAACCAGCTGGCAATGGAAAAACAACTTTCATCTCCAGAAATAATACTAATCTGGTGTGTCACAGAACACTTAATATTCTTGACAGTGTTTCAGTGAATGCATTCTTGTATGAACGTATCAATTCATCACACATACTTGATTTATTCCAGAGCATGTTTTCTGTTTCTCCATGTATGATTTTCTTGTTCCCAAAACAAAACCCTCCATTACTTTTCAGCAGCAGAGCTTTTGATTTACTTTCAAAATTGCTATCAGGCCATGAAAGCTATTCAAAGCATTTTACCAGTATATCTTAGGAACTATATTTTAACATTTAATGTGCAACCAATTTATTTTTTACTTGTTTACTTTTTTACTTTTATTTTTACCCAATGTAACCCAAATTAGTTTTTACTAATTACAGCTTTTTAAAAGTTTTTTAAAAAGGCAGTAAATGGGAGAGCATAAGTACTGAAGAAAACACTAACCTGAAAAATTAGGCCAGCATATAGTAAACAGGAGAAACTAATTGTGCAAAATCCCCATTTAGAAAGCTGCTCTCATTCCCTTTCCATTGGCAAGAGATGTTTGTCATGCTTAAGCTGAAAAGTCCCTTGAGGAAGGGTTTAAAACAACAGACACCACCAGTAACAAGATTTACAGTCCAAGACAGAGGGAGAGAATGCGAGATTGTCATTGAGCAAACAAGTCACTTGAAATACAAGCACAGCTTTGGTTTTGGAGACAGGAGGTAGGCTGTACAACTTCTCAACAGAGGCTCTGGTTTATGCCTGCTTTGTGATTGTGGTAGCAGCTGGTTTCCTATCACCTTGTTTACTCAAGATGTTAAAAATTTTCAAATCATTCTCACTCCAGCTGTTTCCTGAGCACTCCTTTGGAAGCAGATTTTTACTTTAATGGAAAAGGGATTTGAATACAACAAAAACTATCTGAATTTCAATGCAAATACTTTTCCTGTATCATCTCCCTCATTTTAGAACAAAATATTAGGTCTGACACAACACCAAAAAGCCATTAAGCTGTTTGCAGGTGCAACTGATTTTTAAAATATTTCTTAAACATGTTGCTACAGCAGTGAGCTGCAAACTGCTCAGAAAACAAGAGTCATGTCTAATGTATTGACGTTGTGACGCCCCTCTTTTAATATTAATCTTTCCTTATAAAAATATATTGCAAAAAATTCCCAGAATGATCATGAAATTTCTAGATTAATTCACAGCATGTGTTGCTCCTGTTTAATACAGAAAAATATTTTCTTACACTGAAAAAAATAAAGTTAAGAAAAAGGTTTCCTGTACATTTGCTGAGTAAATAGACCACAAAACTTATAAGCAATTAAAAAAAGTAAATCAGATTACCAGCTCTGCTAAAAAAGAAATCACACTGTATTGGTGACCAAGCCCTTCCATGACACTTTTAATAGCCTCTCCATCAACAGCCTAATTAAGTAGGACAATGATTATACAGAAAAGTGAGATGGGTTATTTAATTAGTGCAATTATTCTGCATGCATATGCACATATATGCAAACACAGGTAGTAGGTGGGTAGGTGTGTGCACGTATGCACTTACCTATACATTTCAGAAAAGGAACTGTTCTTTATCCACACAATGAAGGAAAGGCATCATTCTGAAGCATTAGATTAGAACTTCAGTATATTAAATACATATATACCTCATGGAATATTCAACACAATAAGCTTCAGAAGTTTCAAATGTTAAAAAACATGGAAGGATTTGGCATTGGAAGATTTGGAAACACAGTGGAAAGCAACATGACAAGACATGAGAAGAGAATGGGGAATAAAGTTGCCATCTGGGACAGGGTGACCAGATGACAAGAAGTGATAAAAAGATCCAGAGTCTAAGGCAGTTCTGAAATCCTGATGAGCTGGAAGCTAACTTGGCATGAAGATTGGGAAAAGCAAGTAGGAGGAGACAAAAACAGACAACATGATTTGAATAAGAAACTAAGAACATGATTGGACAAGCTGTAAGAGGACTCTCCAATAGAGCACAGTCTAGACATTATCAGCACAAAATGCGACAGTGACTTCACTGATAAGGGCAGGAGACAACACTTACAACTCAAAACACAAAACTTAGGAGGACAACATACAGTACATTCTGACTGCCCTGATTATATGTTAGAGACAGCATTAAATTGTCAAAGTTTACTTTTATTGTTGTCAAAGCAACAATAAAAGTAACAGCATTGTGCTTGTCACTCCTACTAGAAATCAAGAATATTTATATTACACACAGATATGGCTTATAGTTTCATGAAGTTTAAAAGTTTCAGTAATAATTTAAACTAGTAGAAGTAGTTTACCTGTAAAGCAGCCTTAAGCAGCATTTGAAGAAAAAACAAAGACTGTAAACACCATTGGCAACAGCAGTGACCATAATTCATGGTAACTAGTTATTATTTCTATGGCTAATTAAAAGATAAAGTTATTGCTCATAACTTACATCCTTCAGCAAGCACCACTGCTCTCTTAACATAGAACCTCTCAACTAATGTACATTCCTGAAACTGAGCTTTCAAGGCCAAAAAACTTAAAATTTGACCTTCCACATTAATTCTCCAGTTCCATCTTTCCTATTTCTCCCCTTTCTTCCCCTTCCTTGCCTGTAGTTCTCTCCTGACTCCAAGCACAGCATGTCAGCTCTACCCTCATCATCACATCTGCTCAATTTCACAGCAATCCTAATGCTTCCCACCAACTCCTAAAGGGATGACAAGATGCACTGATAAAAATGTTTTCAGCAACCAAATATGTTATATTTTCCCATTAGTATTAATATTAGGTCATAGTAAGGTGACCCAATTTATAATCTCAGCATGTTTTCATTCCTTAATTTATTCAGTTATCAGATTTCATTTATATTGGGTGGGATTTTTTAAAATTTATGCCACCTGAACATTTCCAGAACATATCTGAATGAGAGTAAGACATATAGCATTACCTTTAAACTGGTATCTAATACCTTTCAAAAGTGCCTGTAGGTCACTACCAGAGAGTTCAGTAGAAATATTTTTAATTTCTAGCGTTATATCTGCGAAACCAATACTGATCTAGAGCTTCTGAAACATCCAAACAACAGAAGTCATTCCCCCAACATGAATTACCTAAACTTTTCTCAAGAAGTAAAAAGAATTATTGCACAAATCTTCCCCAAAACACTAATTAAACTTTCTCAATTTCATATCTGTGCACAGGTGAACCAGTACATTAGACACTCTTTACTAAAGTTTACTTTTGCTCTTCATATGAACAGCAGCTGCCACACAAGCTCCAAGTGCTGCACTTGGATTTGGCAGAGTCCAAAGTGAAACTTATGGCTCTAGGGCTGTGCAGCACATAGACCTCTTCTACAAACACACAGCATAGAAAACAGAAACCTGTACAGCTTATTCAATTCAAGAGGTAAAAGGAATTAGGAGTGCTACTGAAATGCTAGAACCCAAGCATTCAAATAAATCCTGTTCTATTTATGTTTCAGTAAAAACTAAGCATAATATTTTGTTCAGTAACACAAAATTAATATCTGCAATCCAACCTTACCCTTAATGACATATCAGTCTGTCTCTGCACTAAAAATACCATCCCTCGTAGTTCTGATGTAGAGATGCTGGGGAGAGATGCTACAGATTAAAAAAAAAGCACGTGCAGCCTGCCTTTTACATTCTGTGAAGTACCTTTTGTTGAATAGTGGAGTGCTTTTGCTCCATATCTCTCTTCTCCTTTGCAGCATCTACAGCCAACTGATCCAGCTGTAAAGAGAAACAAAAAATTGGATCTTTAAATTATCATAAGAAATTTGGCTCAGTAGATTTCACAATGATGACAAAAAAAAAAAAAATGAACACATTATGTCTAGACATTGCAAGACTTATTTCATTTGCATAATATAATTACTTCTTTGTCACGAATTGTTTACCTTGAATAACCACTGAAGCCTCGTTTAAAGCACTGCTCTGCCACCCTGAATTAACCTCTACAAAGGTGTACATTTCTTGTAAGCATTAGGAGAACAGTTTCAAAGAATAGCATGGTGCCAAGCATATGCGACTCTGTACCGCATTGGTGCTCAGTCTCCCAAGAGGATGACTCATGCTTTAGCTGCTCTTGCTGGCCTATGCAGCAGCACTGCCAGGAGCAGCAAAAACTAGAAGGAGCAAATGCTACGGATTTTTTTCCCCCACAAAGTGAAAGAACTGTCTCAACCAGGATTTTGTGTCAATAGTTTTGATCAGCTGACCAGCAGTACTTGAGCAAGACTGCTTGAGATCTTAGGTAGCGACAATCAAATTAATTTTGGAAATAAAAATATGGTTTTGAAAATAACTGAGATTGTCACAGCAAATATTAAGTTAGTATCCTTATAAAGTCTGTGATGATAAAAAGGACACTAGCTAAAAAATGTCCTTTTACAATCACAAAAAAAAAAAAAAAGAGAAAATTTAAGATACCCTGTAAGAGAAAGTTTGATGGCTTTCTTCTGTGGTTAGTTGCTTGTTTTGGTTGCTTTTGTTTTATAGTTTTGATTCTTTTGGTTTTGTTGCTTGCTTGCTTTATCCAGGCCTTCATGCTTAAGTAAGAAATGCAGTGGAGAAGCAGATGTTGCCCCAAAGACCAGTTGTTTGGTAGGTATCTCCTTAGCGCTGTCATTAGGCAGCCGGAGTGCAGCCATGCCCAGCGGTGCAGGCGCAGCGCTGAGCGCAGGGCTCAGCCCGCAGCTCTCGGCTGTGGCACTGCTGCCTCTGCTCTGGGGCCACAGCACAACAGCAGGAGCAGCAGCAGCTCCCAGCTGGGTCCCTCACCTGGCACAGGGCACAATGACTAACACATCTCTGATCCACCCACAGGGAAATCCCCTCCACCCGCTCTCAGAACCTCAAGTGGCAGGCCCTGCCAGCTCTGGCTGTTTCCCCAGCCTTTCACTTCCCCGGATTGACATGATATAAATAACAAAATAGGGACAAGAACAGGCCCTTACACCCTTGTGCTAGACATTCTCCAACAATTATGGAACCATCAGAAAGCTGAAACATCTGGATCCAATTCCATACTCTTACTTTTTTAAACTCCTCTCCCTGTCTTCCCCTCTGGCTCAAAAGGCCGTATCAGCACTTGCACACCTTTACAGGTATTTGTAAGCAGGAATACATTGAAGGCTGAAGTATCCGAATGCCACATCTATGTAGCTTCAGCACTTAAAATAACATGAGCCTCTAAAACAGACTTGGCTCAAAGATTGTTTTGCATCAACAGCCCTTGAGAAACCCATTCTCTTGTGATAAAGATGAGAACTGGGTCAAGTGCTTTCAAAATTTTACAGGAATGAAGTTTCTTGCTAAAACTTCAGATTCAGGAACATGCACATGGCCCCCAAGAAATACTTCCTTCCACCCCATTCGATGAAACAGAAAGCAGCCACTCAGGGTACGGCAATTACCTCTAATTTACCTTGAATACAGGTGTTTGAGGGTACATTTACCACAGCCAAAGCAAAATTCTTAACAGTAACTCATTCCATCAGTTACTTTTTTTACTATGAAGACAGCATTGCACCATTCTTGTTTTCAAGCTCAAACCAGAGTTTCTTCCTTTTCACTCAGGTGAGCAGCACATCAATTGTCTTAGAAGAGACCAAGAGCATGTAACTCTCAAAAGCTGTAGCAAATCACAACTAAATTATTAAAATCTCAGTCATTATAGCATTACTGAATAATTTTCAGAAAATTAGGTTTTTCAAACTACTGCATTTACTGGCAAATGTATTTTTATAAACATAATGCTCTAATTGGCATTCTGAGGAGAATGAAGTCAGACTACAATATTTAGCTTTTTGAGTAGTCATCTCAATGAAAATTCAAATGTCTTCTTTTTAAACTAATACCACATTTCATATGAAACGAACCAAAAAACCACAGTTTCCATGCAAAAGCTCATATTATGATTGCACACTATTAAAGATTCCCAAGGGATCCCAAGGGATCCTACCCTGACCTGAAGTATCCAGAAAGCAAAATTGCTTAATACAATAAAACAGTTATTCTGAAAATATAGACAAAAATAATTCAAAATCATAACTACACTATTTAATATAAATTTTATTACTTCAGGTGCTGTTAACCCTTGTAATTAAGATCATACACAAAATTCACCTAGGAATGAAAACTGACTCACCAACAGAAGGAATCTAACAGCATTTTCACAAAAATCCAGCAAATCCCCGTTATGTCACAACATACTTTGTTAAAGGCAGAAGCTTCAAACAGTACTAGCTACAAAGCCATCAACTGTTAAAACTTTCAACAGTTATTTACAAATCTGCTTCTGTCATGAAAAATATCCGTTACTTAAATGCCCATGTCTCCTAAAAAAGAACAATTCCGCAAGTTGTACAACTTTAGGGTCTTCAGTCCATCTTGCTCCAAATGCAATATATTTAAAACATTCTTAGCTATGGATTTTCTAAATTTAACTCCTTCAGTTGCTATGATACCAGCACCAAAATGAATGCTACACAGTGCTCTTTACCAGATCAAGCAAAAGCATGACCAGACATTCAAAAATAACCTTGTGTTTTCTTGCTCAAATCACGTCAATGAAATGGAAACACTGAAGCCTGGCTGATGGCATAACCCACTATCAACTCCACAGTTTGTGTCTCCTTTCCCTATCCCCTCTTCCACAGCAGTACAGAATACATATGTTACACAGCCAGACACTACAGTTCAACACTTGCAACCCAAACTGGAAGGGTGCTGAAGAATAAAGGGCACAACTATGGAAGAGTAACATCCACCTGAACTGTTCAGGTGCCCCTATTACATCAAGACCTGACATGTCTCTACACATGATTAAGACCCAACTGGGGCCTAGTCTAGCAGAAAAATAAATATTCAGCCATTGGGTTGTTGGAGTTATTTTCTACAGCTCCCAGTCTGCTCCACTGCGTAGCTCAGAACAATTTAATCTCTTAGACATTCAATGACACATCTATTCAATATGAATGTTAAAGTCTGCTGTCATTTATTTGCTTTTTTACCTGGACAAACCCTTAAAAATCTGGCTGGCTCCTTTGTGGATCTGTTTGGGAAGTGGCAATAGAGGGGTTTGTATCAGCGCATTTGTTGCAAGTCCTCAGGTAGAGGCAGATAGAAAGTGCTCATATAACCTGCACTGAAAAGCAAGTCAAGACACTGCTGAGTCTTCTTCCTGCACCACAAACAGATCTTCATTTCAATACTGTATGTTCCAATCTATTTGCATAACCATTTTCAATGTGTCTCTCCTGTGTGCAGTTGGCAGTGGTCCATCTAAGCTTTTCATGAGTTCCTCACTCATGAGAAGCCAGAAGTGTCAATTGTCTGTTCTTAAAAAACAAAACTGGGCAAGAAGGATTCCATGCAGGAACTGTATTTTTCACTACTTATTAAAATCATACTTCCATTTTATGGTCTAAGTTGCTAACATCAAAGCTATATTTACACACATCAAAATTTAATTATGCAGACTGCATAATTTATACAGTAAATAAAGTATACAAGTAGAAGGAAAACCAGACTAATCTACTTTTTATTATTAGGCATATTTATAAACATAGGTAATATACAAACAAATAATCCAGTATCCTGATTATCACAATGTGCATCACAGAGCAGTACGTGGCTATGCTAAAGTATGTAAATCCTAAAGGTAGTATTAATTTTAGTAAATAGACAGCTTTCAGATTGTAACTATTTAAATTCCTTTCATTACAGTATATTTTTAATGTTTTGCCTGTATCATACTACAATTCCCTTTTTGTTGAATGAATCTATGAAGTACCTGATATGCAGGCATATATCAAGATTTTTTCAATTTCAGCATATAGTTATGCATTTTTAAAATAATTAGTTACCTGTGCACCAAGCTCTTTCATGTAGGGCTCAAGTTCACTAAACAGATCATAGCCTTGATGGAAAAAAGCCAGATGTGCATACATAAATGATAACATCTAGAAGGAACAAAGTAAATATTTATTCTCTCAAAAATTGCATCACATATCACATAAATATGTTGCTTAATTCACATAACCTACAATTTCAGGTTTACTTTCTCCTCTCATGTCCTGACAGTTTTACATCAATACCTCATAGAGCTTCCAATGTTGTAAAATAAATGTGCAAAGTAAAGCAAGAACAGAACCAAGCCAAAAACCTCAGAAATCAGTTGATAGCATTAACTCCTTGAGCAAAACAAAAGAAATCTACTTAATGACAGAAAACTACTTCTAAATCATGTCACCAGAAACTTTTATCTCTCTTTAACTGTGACATGCAAGGTACAGAGGGGCTATAGAATATTTTACTAATGATCCAAACCCATAAGCTTTATAACATAGCTGAAAATACTGTCCAGCCTTAAATTAGAAAATAAGTTGGGAAGGTGCAGAGCAGAATAGCAAGCAGTCATAAACTATCCCAAGTAAAGTTTCTACTTTTTACGGAATTAAGAAAATTATGGGAGAGCAACTTCAGACATTTGAAAGAACAGCACTGTTTAATTTGTCACTCTCCATCTCAATAAACTTTCAACAGAGATGATGTGAAGTAGAAAAAGGAATACAATGTGAAGCAAATTGGCATGCAGCTTTATATTAATGGTACAGCTTTATATTAATTTAGCAGATACCATACTATTCATAGTAAAATTTTCCCCTTCTTAGAAAGAACAGAATTCATCTTAGAATAGATTATAAGTAGCACTTACTGTTTACAAAGTAATAAATCAGACCTAAACAGCAGAATTCACAGCAAACAAAGTTTGATTTTAACCATGCGTCACATACCAAAGGATCTAGAGTAGTGAAAATCTACAAGTGTTCGAGTCTGAACCAGATTGTCAAAACCAGTTAAACATGTATGCTCAGCTACAATAAAGGCCAAACTGACAGTCACTAAACTGCCAAATGTACTGATAATATTTTGATCAATAAAAGGACTAAATTTTTAAGATACTGCTTTGTGATCGTATTTTTAATTTTGGATGGATTAAAATATTTAATATACAGAAAATAAAGTATACCTTACCGATTTTAAGATTTCTGCTCTCCTTTTTGATTGAAGAACATTGATCTAAGAGAAAAGAACAAATAAGCAATTCCTTTTATTCTAAAGTAATTTTATTTTCCATTTTCCCCCAAATAATCACATCCAAGCTTAAAACATTGCAAGACGACAGTTCAATATCAGACTTCCCAAAATACTTTTCAAAGAAGATGCACTCTAGTTCTGTCATGTCATCAACGTGATGTGATCAGAGAACACTTGCAAAGCTTGAGTTTCATGGTGATAGTCACAATTTTCTTTTATCACTAGGAAAAATACAGGACACCACTTGCTTGCTAGAAGTAATATAATACACCTTTCAAGGAAAATCTGTTCTCATTTTCAAGAGATTGAATTCAAGATGTTTCAAGCAGATGAGCTAAGCCAGCCCACCAACTCCTTGCAGAAGTTGCACTGCTGCCAGGGCAGAGTGAAGGATGGGGGCAGGGTTACTTTTCCCCTCAGACTTTCAGTATTTATGTATCCCAAAAATACTTAATAATAAATAGGCAAGCAAGAACATCCTAGTTTCAACCAGTAACCTTCTGTGTATACCTATGCTTTTAAGCTAGCTGAAGTCACTGATTAATGGTGCTGCCCTAGAACTTGAGGAATTCCACATTATATTGAAAAAGTGACCGATTTTTCACATTCACCTAGTTCCCCTATCTTCTTTATCTAATCTTAAAAGGTTGCCATCCAGAACTAGAGATTTTACTTTAAAAGACCCACTTAGCAGAAACAGGCATGATTTTGTAATTTAACACCTCTACGTCAGTTTAGAATTTCAGCAAAATAAATAAACTTGCTGAAGCTATAATCAAAACCAGATTCTATTTCTACACTTAAGTGGTCATTATTTTGGAAAACTTTCTCCAGCATAAATAATTAAGATTTGCTTGTACAGAATAAACCCTCAGTCTGTGAGGCAAAGAAAAATAAAAATAAAAGGAAAGCAAAGGTTTTGAATTACTGTCTACAGCAAATCTAGCTACAAGGAAACAACTGTTGTGAAGCCATTTTCCCCGAAGAATCACTCAAGTAAACACAATTCCTAAAGCTGAATTGATTTTTGTCCATGTTGAGAGATACTGAAACTGTTCCCAATTACTCTAAATGCATCTTTATCCCAGGAACTGCTCATACTTTGAACATACAAATTCCAGGAGGCAAAGAACCTGCAGTTCAAAGCACACACAAGGACCTGGCCTACTACAGTAGTGACTGCCAGCTGCCCCCACCATTTAGTGCTAGTACAAATAATCCTGTGGGGAATAATTCACACAACTTTTCAAACACCTAAATGACCTTAGTGTTTAAAAAGCTGGAGTTCAGAGTTGACCACTGACCACCATGTCTGTGAACATGCCCAGGCTGACAGGCTCCACTTCATTTTACAACTCATAATGCAATTTATAGAGAAGTTAATTAACCTTTAAATATCTGACTGGACTGTCACAATAAAGATGATAATGTGTAATATAAAACCAGCTTAATTGTAAAGAGCTGTTCTGTTTTTGATTATAGGAGAATTTCAGACCCATTTGGGAGCCCCCAACCTCTCACACCATCTGAGTTGCAATAATCTTATTTTCTGTAGTTTTAAGTATGAAGCAGATGAATTTTAAGTATAAAAAGAAAATTTATTACTGTATTACAGAATACAAAGCAGCATGACAAAGGACACCTTTCAACATCCTATGGGAGATCTTCACTAAAAAGGTAAAGGATAGTTAAGTTCTTCACTCCCCTTAGAGTACAACGCCAAACTCTGAGGCATCTAGACAAGATGAATACAACCCAAAACATACAGCTAAGATTGCAGAAATACCAAACATCCTGTATGAGAATTATTCAGATAATTTCTATTTCCTAGGCTAGCTTACAGTTTTTACTTTAAATATATTAAAATACTGCAGCATATCTAACTCATTAAACATTTAGGTATCAGGCAAATGCTGGGTTTTTTTTTTTCAAAATTAATGTTCAACTTGAAAATTAAACTGTGTCATTGCAGCAAGGGCACTGAATACCACAGCATTAAAGCAATAGGAGTGCATCAATTAATTTTCCTCAGATTTTATTAAAAAATTAATTATTTGGAAATAAAGTTCTTCCTTTTTCCCTGAATCTCCACAGCTTCCAAGAAGCTTACAAAAACAACTTCTAACATTGTAAAGGACATGTCTCTAACCATATGTAACAAATGGTTTTGAAAAGTAACTTTTATTGCTGTCCTTACCTGAAGAACATAATCCAGAGCTATGTGTCGAAAACACTTTCGTGTTGCAGTCAAAATATTGGTGGCTTCCTCTACCTCATGTTGCTTATTTCTTTGAACTTGGGCATTTTTCACCAGAGCATTCTCCTTTTCTTCACTCACTTTTTCAAACTGTTTCTTTGCATCTTTAAATTTCCTAATATCTCTAGGAAATATGGATGACAAATTAATTCCAAAGCATCAAAAAGAGATTAAAGCTACACCAGACAGACCAAGCTTGTGACTGCTATAACGGGTGTCTTTTTCAAATTTTGTATTCTTCAATACATGCTTGGGTTCAAATGGAAATCCACAAATTATGACAGAAGCTTCTTGTCTTTCTTTTCCAAGCAAAGGACAAAATTGAAATGTAACTGAACACATCTAATGCCTACTGGAGAAAAGCTTTGTCCCCCAAGCTTAGACAATTACAATATGTAATTAGATCACTAATTCATCCTATTGCAACATTTCTGCAGCTGGATCTAAAGCCTCAGTGATTTGGGGTGATTTTTGACAAAGCTTTAATACACACTTCTCAATTTATGGGTGCTATTTACAGAAGGATGTTCCACATACCCACTCAAATCAGATTTTTAAAATTCCATTTTATATATAATTTTCCCATTACAAGTGCAAATTGACTTACTCTTTAACAAAGGTCTGAAGCTGTGTTTTAATTGATCTTTGGATTTGGTCAAATAGAATCTGAAAGAAAGCATGATTATGTAGGTCAGTAACTTAGAGGTACTCATACCTTATGATTTTAGAAATACAAATGCAGTTATGCAGAATTACATGAGAATTATTATTATACTACAGTGTATACTCATTTGAATTGTAAAGATATTTGTTAATTTTTTAAGGCCAAAGCACACCTGGATGTGAGACAATTTGTATGTTCTCTTATGACCCAAAAAATTCTAACTGGAAAATGAAAACACACATTCCTCCAGCTTCACATCTGCCCTCTCAGTTTTAGGATGGAGTGGACCAGGCCAATGGCTACTGGACAAATCCTTTTGTCACTTCTTATTGTGCAGACAAAAAATGTTGCCTCAATTTTCAACCCCTATACACCTCCAATTCTGCATAACAGAAATACACAAGGCAGCATCACAAAAATAAAGTTGGTCCAGTTGAACAGAATCTCACATAAAAGGTAAAAATCTTAAAATATTAAATAATTTTCTTGAAAAAGCAAGCCAAAACCTCCAAGTTTAAGGTCAAAAAATGTTTTCCTTAAATCTTCTGAATCTTAGATTCTTTATTAAGATTTGGAAATGGGAAGCTATGCAATGCCAAGTACTGACAGCAAAACCTTTACCATCTCATCTCGCTTTTCAGGAGCCATTACTGTGTTTAAGCCACTCATTAGCAGTGGTACTGTGCCTTGCATTCAGTCTCCATGCTTGAAGACCAAAGCAACCTGCTTCAGCCTCATATCTTACCCTGATTTAGGCAGGCAGTCAAACCATCCACACCTCCTGAGGCCCCTTCCAACCAGAATTCTATCTACTAGTAACACATGGAAGAACCTGTTTGTATTCCCACTTTGGGAAACCAGAAAAGCAGACAACTAGTATAAAGAACTTCTTGACAAACTGGAAGTCAGGCTGGGACTACTCCCACTGCTGACATTTAAGCTTGCCAGTGCCTGGGGAGTGCACCAATCAAGATCAATACCAAAAGATAAAACCAGATGGGAACTCAAATGTTTAGAGGACTCCCAGAAATATGAGCCTTGCATTCTGCTTACAGTAATGAAGAGAAAAAATGTGCTGGGCAGAAAAATACATGGACATCATTTCCCCTGCAAGAACAGAAAGAAGTGCCCAGACCATGATCTGACTAGATTTACAGCCTTGTCAACATACTACCTTTCATACACTCCAAGTCTAAGAAAACTGCTATTTGCCATAAGCTGTCACAGCTACTCCCCCACTGCTGAATCATGAAGATGCTGCATTAGCCTGGTCCCTGGCCTTATTTGTAGCAAAACCTCATATGAAAAAACTGCCAGTCATCCAGAATTCAGTGGGAGCATCCATCTCCTACCCCTTCCATCCTTGCTTTCCTCTTTCTTCCTCTAGCTTCTCTCTCCTGATGGCTCTGTCACCTTGGTGAGCAACAGACCTGTCACTCTGAGCCACAAAGCCCTGTTGAACTAAGCAGATTCTCAGAAAGCAGTGCAGGACCACAACAGGTCTGGCAAAGCAATTGTGCCTCATTCCTGATGTTTGTGCCTTTGGTAAAAGCCACTTTGTCCTCACTATGCCTGAGCACAGCTAGGGCATGGAGGGGGGAAAAAAAGCAGGGTAGAAGTCAGATTGGTCCTACTTAGATTTGAAAAGAAATCTTCGTTAATATGGTTTGTTCTTTGCTTTCTGCCTTCAAACTGCCCAAAAGGAAGAGTTGTGCTATGCCAAATTTTACCAAAGCAGTGCAAGACACTGTCATGTAGAATAACAGCAACAATAATACAGAACCTATGTCAGAGGCGTCCAAAAGAGCAAGCCATAGATAAAATACATGGTTAAGAGGGATTCCAGCAGCAAGATGTGTGATGAAGAGGGACAGCCTGGGTTCACCTGCAGAAATTATTGACATGAAAGTAATAATTGCTCCAGTACTGCTGCTTTGAACCTTGGCACTCCCTTCTCTCTACAACCCAAGAACCACTGTTCACTTATTCCCTTTTTTACAGTTTTCATTAGATTAGCTGCAAATATGTACCCTTGGTATAATGGAAAGAAAATCAAACACAATGCTATTAATCTGCTTTGTTTTGCTTCCCTTCCATTTTAAAAGCATGCATTAAAAAAAAAAAAACAAACACCTAATCAGACACTTTTAGAAAGCTAAGTTAAAGCTAGCAAACTTCCATTCCATTCTCTCGCTTGTCAATTTTTAAACTCCCAGTGGTATGAAAACCCCATATTTTAAGTGTCCTGCGTATTTTCAGCACTTTGGAGACACTTCACTTTGTTTCCAGCAATTTCCTGGGAAATTAACAAAGAGCAGTTGGGCCAATGAAAGAGGGACAAAACAGAACAACAAACGTCTGAATAAAAGACTAATGTCTTTAAAGGAAAAGATAACAAATTAGTTTTCAAACCAGAGAAAGCTGAAATTTCTGATTAACTCTGACATGCTAAAAATTACAATTAGTCTTAAATCCTAGCATTTTCTCCATACTTACCTAAATCTGCTACCCTTCCAAAAAGAAAACCATATGCAAATCATAGGTGCTTCATTTTGTGTATTATAAAGAATAGGGGAAAAAAGTAGCAACTATGGAAAAGATAATCATTATTTCAGACCAGCAAAGGTATGAGCTCATAGTCTGTAACTGTCACCATCAGTCTAACAAAAAGAAGAAACTATCCAGTATTTACTGGCTTAGAGCACCAAAGCTTACAAATTTCAAATGAAAAATAAACCAAGATGGAAATAGGCAGTAAAGTGGATATTTATAAATACTTTGTAAACAAAACATTAATACAATATTTATAAGTATAAAACAAGAGTTATTTAACACCATTTAAACTATTATTTTGCAAACACTATCAACAAGAAAGGCTTTACCATTAATCTATTATCAAAAATAACTGGAGGTGAGCTATCAGTGCCATGTTACAGCTAGAAATACTCACATTATGATAATTGATCATTTCCTGTAAGGTGTCAGAGAACTTCATCAAATTGGTCTACAGAGAGAAAATAAAAGTGGTTTAAAGTTAAGCCCTACTAAAAATACAGCACAAAAGAAACAGTTCAGAGGTTTATAGCTTTTCTGTAAAGAATTTGAAAATTCATTACTGAATTAGTGCTTTTCCTTATAGCACTATTATGGGACTAAAACCACTAAGCTAGAAGGAGAACACAACTGTAATAGCAAATAAATATATTAAAAAAATATTACTTCTACCTACCTCTATATAAAGTACCAAACTGAAGAAAAGCAGGAAAAATTCAAATTGACTAAAGATATGGTAAGCTCACATAATCTAAAACATTAATTTACAATATTTAATATTACAGTAATTAATATTTTTCACATTTAATACTCTTACTCAAAAAAACAGGTTAGCATGTTGCAATCACCTGTATACATAATAATCTAACACATTTTCTGAAATTTGGCAGACCCGTGTCACTGCTGAAACTAAACAGCACAGACGCCTGCAGTGCACCACAGCTGGAAAATCCTCCACTCTAAAAGAGACAGTAAAGAAAAAGCAGAAAATAATACTATAAACTTCAACTATTTATCTTGCCAACTCTTATGTTGTACCTTTTTTAAGTTCTGTTTCCCTCCCTCCACTTCCACCTCAAAGACCTTACCTCAACCAATGGATCTTTACAGGAATATTGTGCAAGGTCTCGAATTCCATTCATGAACTGCTTGTTGGCTGTACAAAATGCTTTCCCAGTATCAATCATTGCAATGCAAAGCTTCACCAGCTGAAATTAGTATAAAAAGAGAGAAGCAGAAGGCTTATTTTGATTTGGTATTTACACCATCATACAAACATGAAAACACTGAGCTTAGTTAAGGCTACAAAATAAAAATTTCAAAAGTAACGTTCTCACCCTCAGATTCTATGAAAAGCTTTCTACTGTATAGTAACAGCTATAAAAATACTACTCTAGGTCAATAGATATGCTATTGGGAAAGCTACCACTCTATAAACTTTTAAAATTAGTTTTTATTTGATTTATTGTTAACTGGCATGTTGCACATATTTCAAGAGAGAGTTTTACACGGGCAAAAAGTACAGCAATTAAAACATAACTGGTTAGAACCCAAGCAAATGAAGTTATTGCTGTTTCTGAGGAAAACCACCACTAAACAAACAAAAATGAAACCCACCCCAGCTGTTTCATCCAGAGACACTCAGAATACAGGCACAGGAAAGCAAAAGACTGCGCACAAAGCACAGCTGAAGAGCCATGGTTACATCTCAGGAGGTGAAATCCATCATGCTTCCACTCACATACAGACTAATCTCTGATGGCTTTCCATCCCTACCACTCACTGCTTCAGGCCTCATGGTACTGCAGTCTGATAGGAGGGTCCTCAGTATCTTGTGATGGATGTTTTCCCACTTAAACCTTTATGCACTGGGCCATTAACGTAAGAGACAGTGGTTACTGCAATTGCCATGGTGCTCTCTTGAGATGGGGCACATTAGGATTGAGTTCCCCCACCTTAAGCCAAGCTGAGAATAAAACCAGAAGATTGAACCTTCATCTCTGAATGATTTTTCAAGGATGGTAAATAAATTTTCATGAAAAGCAACACAGAAGCATTTGATCCTATGTTGCGGCAAAGAAACCATCCAAGCATCCTTCCTGCCTTAGTTATCCAGTAATTTTTATGTTAACTCAGATCCTTAGGAAAAATGGAAAGCTAAGCATGATCTTCCATATTATGAATGTCCAAGTTCCTTGAACAATGGACAGAAAAAAAAAGCACTATTAATATTAACCTTTTCCCTTCACCTTTGCTTATAGTTCACAAGCCCGAACCAGGCTTGCTTTCTTCCAGAGAGCACAAAACTGCAGACAGTGTAGCCCAAAGTCAAAACTGTGAGACAATAAAACCAAGTTTAGTATGAACAACTGATCAGAAAAAGTTACCAACCAAGCCTAGACAAATTATTACCCTCAGGCCATACTTGCTTCAGCTCACCCAAGAAGCTTGGCTTTCAACTTTAGTATTGTACTACAGGGCCCTGAATAATGCCATTTAAGGAATATGAGAATTCTTTTCCCCAAAAACAATCCTTTCAGACTGTTGGAAAAGCCAAACTTTCAAGTTTGATTTTTCAGATAATTAAAATACTAACACTGTTTGATCTACCAAAACAGATTCAACATTCCTACAGTAAAAATGTGTGTTACACCCAAAAGTTTCACAAAGATTCACACCAAATCAAAATTATTTTGAATAATTTTGAATTTATTTTTCAAGAGCAAATTGTTAGATTATTAGCTACTAAAAACTAGAAATACTATTACAAGTAGTAAAGAAAAAGTCTTCAAGCTTGACACCATCATTATTTGTCTCCAGCTCTCTGCAGTCAATTCACAGCTGTAGGAAAAAAGGTTGTATTCAAAATGCAGTTAAGGAGGTAAACAAATGCCATCTGCCTGCCATGTGAAAACACAGATAAAAAAAACTTAAAGCATTTAGACAAATGCAAAGGAAAGAAGACTTTATACAGATGAAAACCAAAAATAAGCCACTCTCAAAATAATAGCAAAGAAATAACAAAAGTTTCCAAAGGTGAGGAAACCAACGAACAAATAGAGTTGAAAAGATGCTACGTATCATTTTTTTGCATACATGCACAAAGCATGGCAAAACGCAGGATAAATTTTACAGCCAAGTCCTGCACACAACAGTGAAGGATATATATATACATATACCTGGCTGCTGTGCCTCAGATTACCGAGCAGCACGGATTTTAAACCTCTGAACCAGAGTATCCAGATGTCCCCACAGCAAGAGAGCCGTTGTGGCCACAGGCTCTCGGGCAGTATGACCAAGGGCCGGCTTTGCTCTCCTGTGAAAGCTGAAGGAGTTGGCCGCAGCTCCCCGGGCTCAGTCCCAGGGCGCAGCAGGACCAGCCAGGAGGGAATTGCACAAGGAAGCCTCAGCCCGGGGAAGGAGCGGGTTCAGCTGAGTTCAGCTGCCCGGGGCCGCTTTGCTCCAGCCCGGCCTCCGAGGCCAGCTGGGAGCTCCATCTGGATCCTTCCCTCTGCAGAGCAGGGGCTTGGGCGGCCACTGACACTTCCCAGCTGCGAACTTTAAAACAAAACCGAAACACGCTGTCTGATGTTTCTGAGAACAAACATTATTGAATTAAAAACTTACCTTGTCAAGTTTCAGTTCCAGCTCCGTCACATCTCCTTCTACCTCTTCTAAAGCTGCCCTGCATGCATAAAAGAGGTTTTCCTTTAAAATTTTAAATAAAAATACTCTGAATCTGGGGAGAAGGGGCAAACACACATTCAATTAATTCATTTATTGCCATGACAATACTTACCTTTCGCCTATAAAACAGCATAGATTTTAAAGAACCACAAGAATTGCAGGAAATTTTATGGTATAAAGAAGAAAAACTACATCACTGCTAAAATGTCGTCTATTGATAAAGATTTGAGGTCAAATTTTATTAATCCTAATATTTGTCACACCAAAATAGATTTCTTCTGTTCTTGTATAGACAATAGTCTATATGTTTGAAGCTAACAACAAAGGAAAGAAACTGAAAGTTGGAGGGAATTTTCTTAACTCTTTTGGTGACCTCCTGGCTCAAACCTGCAGATAGGGCAGCTATTTCATAAATAACCTTAAAATGAGATTAGAAAAAACAACACTTTCCATGGGTCAATTAACCTGCAGGGAGTTTGGATGGCACAGTTGATTAGATCATTTACCTCTGGTCAAATTTTCCAGGCCAGTCAAATTTAACTTGCCAGTAAAAGCTGCTTTCATGGAGCATTGCTAAAGCACAACTTTTTTCTTTTTTTTTTCTTTTTTTTTTTGGTTCTAAGCTCATGTTTCTTTGTACGCCTCCTTCATTATTGCTACCTGAAAAAACAGGAGACTGAGGATGGATGACTCTTTGTTCTGAGTCCATGAACATTGCTGCTTCATCAGGCTGTTGCCTTGAGAGCCAAATGGACTCATTTCTGGCAAGGAGAGCCCCTGGTGCCATCACAGGGTGCCCATTCTTTCAGTCATTCCAGCATAACTGTTCATGGAGCCACACTGTTTACCAGTACTAGCCTGCCTTGGGGAAAAAAAAGTAATAGGAAGTTTTCTGAAATATTTTTTGGAAAATTGGATCAGACATTTCACATCTCAGTCCTACAGAAAAACCCAGCTCTTCCTGGAAAAAATTATATAGGCAGGGAAGAATGATTTGGAGCAGGAATCTCTTAAGCCAACTTTATACCACTGAGGAGAGACAACACACAACCACAGCTTTACTGTCTCTTGCTAATTCCATTCTAGTTCACATGAGTACAAGCCAAGAACACAAAAAAAAAAAAAAAAAAAAAGACTGGATCAGGCCCCAAGTTCAGGAAAAGCAGTTTTTTTATAAGAACAGTTCTGAAAAACGCTGCCAATTGCTTGCAGATCTTGAACACTGAACATAACATTCCCAGTTTTTGCAGATTTCACTACACATAGTTGCATTCCAGCTCTTGTACCTCAATGCATTCCCACAGTTATGTCCTAGGTTTTATAGCCAGGCAATCTCTGCAGCTATATTTTGGCTTTTCCCTCTTCGCTAGCTTCAGAGGATTTCAGGCAACATCAATTTCTCATTTAGTTTCTTTATTTTCTTTCATAATTGATTCATTTCCACTTAAGTCTCTAGTTAATCTTGTTTCGGAAAGCATTAAAGAGAATTTAAAAACAAAACCCAAAGGAAGGAAAAGCATCTCAATATTTAGACTGCAATTTGCATTAGTTTGTTTATAACCACAGTGCAACAAATTTTTATTTGTTTTTTTGGCATTAACATAAAAGCACGATTAAGTAGCTTGTTTACAGAACTGCAGCAAGATCTGATAAGAGTATTATTTTTTTGTGTCTTTAACTCCTGAAGAGTTCTAGCTCCACAGGACTTAATGAGCTAAAAGTCTAATTCAAAATGAACAGAGATAAAGGCAGTTGGAGCAGGCAGAATAAAGACAACACATCTGTTCAGTAATTAAACGTCTATTCCAAGAGGCAAATTTTAAGACAGAATAAGCTCAAATGGAAGAAGTACCAGCAGAACATTAAAAAACTGAAACAATCAAGGGTAGATCAAGTAAAAAGAAGTATAAAGCAAAGCAGATAGGGGTATCATAAGAGAAAGGAAAGATACATCCCACCACCACCCAATTTACTGCAGTTCTCTGAAATGCCACAGGCCCCTGAGGCACCAGGCTGATTCTCTGGCCTATTTCCCACCACTGCCATATGATAGAGGGATGGCATATCTGGGCCCTACATCTGGATATGGATTGAACAGCTGTAGGGTTCCAGGCAAATTCCACTTTAATTCTTTGTTTCTTTGCAAAGAAATGATTACTTTATTGTTTCCACCACATAAAATCTTAGAAGTTATTATCATGCAAACATATTTACAGATATTAGTCCAAAACTGGATTGCAATCACCAAAACATGGAGAGGATGTCCTCAGACTATCAGAATATAGTATATACGTACAATTATGTACCCCCTAGTCACAAAAATTGTCTCCATGTCTTCATCCTGGGCTAGAAATACAGCTATACATGAAAAACAGCTGATCTGAGCCGTGCAATGTTAATGCTACCCTTGTTTTTCTTAATTTAATACTTTTTGAGGCCACAGAATGCAAACGTGCATTTCTCTCTAAAACATCTGTGTCAGGCACAAAGTTCACAGAAAACTGTCCTAATTCTGAGTAAATGTCATGTCCAGCCAAGCCCCACTGTCCAGCTATAAACACAGGAAGTGGTGGTGAAACAGCTGAGGATCAAGTACCAGACCTGACATGTAACAAAACTGTTGCTCCCTAGTGAAGTGGGAGCTGGGAGCAAGGTTTGAATCACAGTGATCTCAGCCAGAAGGCTCCAGCAATAGGAATAAGGATCAAATCAGGTCCAGTGTATGAGTCAAACATCTGTGGCTTCCCAAGACGTTCAAATCCTGCATGGCAACGCACAAAACCAGAACAGCTGCTTAAGGGTGGAGGACAACTTTTACAAATGAGCAGTGTCCCATACTCTTCATGCTCTGTAATGAGGACTCTCAGGAATGTGTTTCTTTGCTGTGACTTCTCTCCTCCACCAGCCCCCTAAAACACAGTTCAGTTTGCTAGATACAGCTTCCTGCACAGCTGCAGTGCAGGAGGAATACAGGAGATAATGGAAGAAAACTCAAGAGCTGACTTTGCAGCCTTTTTGAATGAGGATAATGTCATCAGTTACCCAGCCCAGCATATGTGAAGGACAGCTGAACTCTGACATCCATCACAGCACTCCCTTTAAGCGACTAGTGAAAGCCTTTCTTCCAGGTTAAGGTACAACGAGAATCCCAGGAACCAAACAGACTGAAGATGGATAAACTCTCCTCTGAAAATTCAAAGAATGGATCACTCTTAGACCAGAAGCTGCAGACACAAGCTAAGGAAACAATTTATGCTGGAGTAATCCACTACACACTGCTGACCAGAACACCACACACACCATGGCCATTGACAGGGGTCTGCAGGGCCTGCTTACTCTCACAGAAGAGTGGTGATCACCATTGCTTTTATATTTAGATCCTCTTCAAACAAAATCTGTCATTGAAGCCACACCCTGCCTTTAGTCTTTTGCTCATTCATTCATCATATTCTATCCTGCATTTTCAGACTGTGTTCCTGAAAATGAGGAGGCTGGAATCAGTAGTCATTCTAAATCAGATGCTGAAAAACAACAAACTGGAGAGGTCAAAGGTGCTATGTGCAACTAACTAATAATTATTAATTCTAGAAAGAATACACCACTATTAAAAATTTTCAGAATAATAAAAGCCCAACAATAAAATATTTTCCAATAGTGTGTGCTTATGTGTTTATTTTTTTCTTTTAATTGAGAAAAGTTTTGATTCATTTATTGAATATACTTTCAGAAGAACAGGAACAAGTCACAAAATCAATTGCTATTCATTCTGAGGCTTTTGAATGCATTCATGTATTTGGACTCATGACATGGAAATACCACTGCAGTTTCAATGGCATTAGTTCTAAAGTCTGTCCTCAAATCTTAGAAAGACACAGCTCTCTTACTTGCACATATTCTATGCAGAACAACTCCTTAATGCACAACTTAGACTTCACTAGAGATGACATCCTTCCAGCCAACATCCACTACACCTTCAAGACAGCTTGAAAAAGAAAAGGTACTGAGTGTGAAAACCTGGAAATGAGATATGTAATTGCAAGATAAGAATATGAACCTGATGATTTACATTAATGTCTCCTCCTCTATGTCAGAGCCTGTCAGGTGACAGATAGCAAAAAGGACAGTAGGCATTAATCAGAGGATAGACTATGCCTGTAGTGTGATGCAAAGGCAAATTAAAATGCAGAAGATAATACACTTGCTCACCTGCTTGGTCTGGTTTGTCTCTTCCTCTGCCCCCGCCTCCCTTTCCTCCCAGAGCAGTTGCACCTTGGGGTCACCCTTCAGATGCAAAGCAACTGCTCACAGACGAGTTCAGAAACAGCCACAGACAGACTGCTGAGGGCGGCCTCAGGCCAGGGGAACACACACACCACCGTGACTAATGCCACTGGACACTGCCACTTTGGACTGCTCACCAAGGGCCATTTGCTGGTCACCAGGTTGCCAAGGTCCCTTCCACCAGCACAGCCGCGCAGGGCTGTTACTTTTGAGAGGAAGTCTTCACATTTGTCTGGGATAAACTTAAGGAGCTTTCTACCTGTGCTTTCCCCTATCTTGCTGAGGTCCTGCTGGATGGCAGACCTACCCTTCAGCTTCTCAGAGGTCCCTCCAATCACTGTCTACTTCATTTAATTTCCTTCATATATAGTGACATATACAAAGGTGTCTGGGGGCACATTAACCGGTTTGCCAAGAAGGAATACAGTTGGTGCATGTGTTACGGCATCAGAAACCAGAGACTAAAAAAGAAACACAACGTATTGAGGGACAAAGAAAGCATACATGGAACAATAAGGCCTAATAACTTCAGATAACAGCATGGCTAGAGATGAGTTTTACAACTTATGAGATGTGCCTTAACCATTAATATGGTCTGAAGAAAGAACACTGTTGCAGCCTGTCATAGAGCCCATTGAAGTCCTGGTTTGGCTCTGCAGAGTTTTTCCCCCGCTGGCACAGAGCCCCTCCATACTGAGGAACAGATGATGAACTCTC